AATAAAAACAAGAGGCCCATGGGCCTTAACGGTCATCTGACAAAAAGCAAGCCAAACCTAGAAAGTGGGTTGAGGTCATTCATTTGAACAAACTTGGTAGCCTCTCCTCCAAGCATCTTACAGGCCCAATATCAGCACTCATGGACTTTTGCTTGTTGAGAAGAAGTCGTTTGTATATTTTAACATATTTGACCCCTGTGACCTTGAAAGTGGGTTGAGGTCATTCATTTGAATAAACTTGGTAGCCTTTCCTCCCAGCATGCTACAGACCCAATATCGGCACTCATAGACTTTTGCTTATTGAGATGAAGTCCTTTGTATATTTTAACATATTTGACCCCTGTGACCTTGAAAGTGGGCCAAGGTCATTCATTTGAACAAACTTTGTAGGGCTCCATGCCAGCATGCTATGGGCCAAGTATTAGCCCCCTAGGCCTTCTAGTATTTGAGAAGAAGTTATTTAAAGATTTTGACATATTTGACCCCTGCGACCTTGAAAGTTGTTCGAGGTCATTCATTTAAATAAACTTGGTAGCCTTTCCTCCCAGCATGCTACAGACCCAATATCGGCACTCATAGACTTTTGCTTATTGAGATGAAGTCCTTTGTATATTTTAACATATTTGACCCCTGTGACCTTGAAAGTGGGTCAAGGTCATTCATTTGAACAAACTTTGTAGGGCTCCATGCCAGCATGCTATGGGCCAAGTATTAGCCCCCTAGGCCTTCTAGTATTTGAGAAGAAGTTATTTAAAGATTTTGACATATTTGACCCCTGTGACCTTGAAAGTTGTTCAAGGTCATTCATTTAAACAAACTTGATAGCCCTTCATCCCAGCATGCCACAGGCACAATATCAGCAATCTGAGCCTTTTGGTTATTGAGAAGAAGTTGTTTAAAGATTTTAACATATTTGACCCCTGTGACCTTTAAAGTGGGTCAAGGTCATTCATTTGAACAAACTTGGTAGTCCTTCATCCCAGCATGTCACAGGCCCAATATCTACACTCTGAGCCTTTTGGTTAATGAGAAGAAGTTGTTTAAAGATTTTAACATATTTGACCCCTGTGACCTTGAAAGTGGGTTGAGGTCATTCATTTGAATAAACTTGGTAGCCTTTCCTCCCAGCATGCTACAGACCCAATATCGGCACTCATAGACTTTTGCTTATTGAGATGAAGTCCTTTGTATATTTTAACATATTTGACCCCTGTGACCTTGAAAGTGGGCCAAGGTCATTCATTTGAACAAACTTTGTAGGGCTCCATGCCAGCATGCTATGGGCCAAGTATTAGCCCCCTAGGCCTTCTAGTATTTGAGAAGAAGTTATTTAAAGATTTTGACATATTTGACCCCTGCGACCTTGAAAGTTGTTCAAGGTCATTCATTTAAATAAACTTGGTAGCCTTTCCTCCCAGCATGCTACAGACCCAATATCGGCACTCATAGACTTTTGCTTATTGAGATGAAGTCCTTTGTATATTTTAACATATTTGACCCCTGTGACCTTGAAAGTGGGCCAAGGTCATTCATTTGAACAAACTTTGTAGGGCTCCATGCCAGCATGCTATGGGCCAAGTATTAGCCCCCTAGGCCTTCTAGTATTTGAGAAGAAGTTATTTAAAGATTTTGACATATTTGACCCCTGCGACCTTGAAAGTTGTTCAAGGTCATTCATTTAAATAAACTTGGTAGCCTTTCCTCCCAGCATGCTACAGACCCAATATCGGCACTCATAGACTTTTGCTTATTGAGATGAAGTCCTTTGTATATTTTAACATATTTGACCCCTGTGACCTTGAAAGTGGGCCAAGGTCATTCATTTGAACAAACTTTGTAGGGCTCCATGCCAGCATGCTATGGGCCAAGTATTAGCCCCCTAGGCCTTCTAGTATTTGAGAAGAAGTTATTTAAAGATTTTGACATATTTGACCCCTATGACCTTGAAAGTTGTTCAAGGTCATTCATTTAAACAAACTTGATAGCCCTTCATCCCAGCACGGCGCACGACGACGGACGAAGCATGATGACTATAGGTCATCGGACCCTTCGGGTCAGATGACCTAAAAAGTAACAGTTCAGTTTCCAAACAAGAGATCCCAGAGGGATTCTGGCACCCACCATTGTTTGATCTTTATTTGCTCTTTGGAAGATGGATCTCTTCCCTTCTTTTCTCTTCTCTGTTTTTGCTCTTATGACATGACATTTGAACATACATTTCTAGAAATTGTTATGATAATCTTTACCTGTCAAATCCAAAATGGCCACCAGAAAGTAATATTTTTTCTTCTGATCAGTCCCAAAATCAAATGGACACAAGGAGAGATGAAAGGGAACATAAGTATTAAATTTGAGAGATATCCATTTAGAACTTCTTAAGAAAAAGCAATAACAATATTTACTTGGCGAAATCCAAGATGGCTGCCTGTTGGCAATTTTGTTTTTCTGATTAATCCCAAATTCAAACAGGCACTACTATGGACCAAAAGGAACCTATACATGAAATTTGGGAAATATCTATACAGTACTTCTGAAGAAATAGCAATAACAAACTTCATTGGAAAAATCCAAAATGGCCGTCTATAGGCCATTTTGTTTTTCTGAGCAGTCCCAAAATTAAATGGGCACAACTAGGGACGAAGGGAAATCTACATATGAAATTTTTGAAAGATCAATCCAGTACTTCTCAAGAAATAGCGATAACAAACTTGCAAAGTCAAAATCCAAGATGGCCACCTGTTGGCCATTTTGTTTTTCTGATCAATCCCAAAATCAAACGTGCACAACTAGGGACCAAATGAAACCTAGATATGAAATTTACGAAGTTCCACTTTTGAAGAAATAGCATTAACAAACTTTAAAAATCAAAATTGAAGATGGCCACCTTTCAGCCACTTTGCTTTTCTGATCAGTCCCAAAATTAGACTGGCACAACTAGTGACAAAGGGGAACCTACATATGAAATTTAAGAGATCCATCCAATATTTCTCAAGAAATAGCGATAACAAAAACTGTTTGCGGACAGACAGATGAAGGACCACAGACACAGAGTGATTTGAAAAGCCCACCTTCATCAGATGGTGAGCTAATAAAGGAAAAAAAAGTAACTAAATATGTAAAATACAGCATCATTTATTCTTATACACAAAACCTGAAAACAAAAGTATCTGCGATGCCTTAGTCGTTCATAAACCAAAGTTGAGGATAAGATCATGACAAACAGATGTACTATACTGCTTATAAGCAGTATGTACCTTCTAAATCAGATGTACCAATTTTTTTTTAAACAAGAACAGAAGATTTAAACCAGAACATGAAGAGGTCTTAACACTTCTAACCATTACATATACAAATGTATTATTTTTATATATTCAAAAAATGAGACCACAACTGAACACTGGAAAGACGAAGTCACATGTTTTAAACTTTTAACATTAATTTTGTAATATTAAAAAACAAGTTTTTGGTGAATTTTCATCATGACAATTTGACTGATATAATTCTTTGAAGATATTTAAGTAAGTTTAGTTATGGTTAATTGTCTAATATCTGAAACATTTGCCTCTCATTTCTATTTAATGAATTAGAGGTAGAAGGCGTGACATCCTGGCCCCAATCTATACGACAAATGGACCATCTGAACTGTCCATTACCTAACAGAATTTCACATTAAATAAAATGTTGAAGAAATAACAAATAACTTCAAAGAAAAAGCAGCATAAGGAAATCAACAAATTATGAAAGCCCTTGATTATCATATGCAATTAATTATACAATGTAACTATAATATGAGGAATGAAGGGCAAGCTTCTAGCTAGTGTGACAAAACCCCACAGAATCTGATGTGTAAGCCAGATGTCAACTAATTCCTCACTCCTATGTATGAAATTGTAAAGAAAATATGTGCTACAAACATTTGAAATAAAAGCTTCTGATATAGATGTTCATAAATTTCTTCCAATGGAAAAACTGTATGTGTACTTAAGCAGTATTCTAATATTGACACTTTTTGTGTTTAAGTCATTTCTCTAATGCTAAAATTTTGATGTCCTATTATTGGGCATAAAAATGCATCACATCTAACAATGGAGTGTTGTACGCCGATTAATACATGCAGAACTATTAGTAGGTTAGAAACGTCACTTCACCCCTATAGTATAGCATGCTTCACAACAAACATGGCTCAGTTGTAGTTCACTTGTACATGGTTGATGTTCAAGATAATTGAAACATAGTGTATATCTGAAAAGTACATCACAGCGAATTTTGAAATTATTCTTGTTGCCTTTATGCAAATTTAAGATTTTACTAAAATAAGAGTGTACTATAATCAACGATAATACACATACAGTAAGAAATAGTATGAAAACTAAAGGTGAAGTTAATGTCAACATCAAAATAGCAATTAGCAAATGACTTGGTGTGCGATAGTGTTACACATGCTAAATATATCTACATTATTTAATGAAATTGTTTAAGACGGCAATTCTATATATTTCTGTGGGGCAAAAATGATATCTGTTTGGAAATTTAAGAGGCCCTTGGTTGATGGCAGAAAAGAAAACTTTATAAGTTTTATACATTTACAGACTAAAATTCCATGGTCCTTTTTTCTTTTTCAATTCTTGGTACTTAGTTTTTTGTCATTGCTTTATATACATTTTGAAGACAACTTATATTTAATCGATATCACTTCCAGAAGTAATTTTGAAAGTTTAACCTGTACTTATTTACATGTATACCATTTCAAAAATGAAAAAGACCAGCACGCATGTCCAGTACTGTATCCGTCACCTGTCAAACCTGTTTACCTACATACGTCACACAAACTCACTCTCTGGACATTCACGAACTACACATACAGTATACATAATAGGACTTTCACAATACAAAGCACAACATATAGAAGTAACACAACGAGTGCACCACACGTACAATGCAAAACACAACACGGGATACTCACGTCGTAAATATGGCAAAACGAGCACAGTAGAAATACATTAACATATTAAAATAATTTAAATGGGTGCCACAAATGGACAAATAAAATAAGTTTTCACTTTTGACAACAAAGCATGTACTGTAAAGTGACTTAACACTGATTCCATCTGTTAAAAGAGTTGTATATCAACATATAAAACAGACATTCATACATAAACCATACATAAAAGTGTTTACACATATATCCATCAATATGACATCTTTTTCATGTATATGACAACATCTGTTAATCCTACTAATTATGTAAACAGAATTCCAGGCAAGATACAAAGAAATATTTGTGTAGTAAGTCATGAATTCAATATTTAAATATATATCAGTATCTACTAATTAATGAATAAATTTCACTTATTGACTTATACATGTACTTTCATTACCATGATCTGTCTGTGCATGTACAAACTAAATGAGCTGTAAAAAAACACACTATCATTTACAATGATTTGTGAGAACAAACTACCATCTGTCGTTGAAGTTTAGACAAATTTTAAATAACAAAAATAGCACTATCTGCATTAAAATTTAAAAGGTCAGTTGTTTATCTTTGGAAAATCTGGCTTTCATCCACCACTCAAACCTAACACATCTGTAAATGACCCAATCTGTTAATAGGATGTAAAGCAACAATAAACTGAATCAAGAAAAGGGTTTCCTTGGGGTAGCTAGTGACTATCTCATTTAATAAGTAGGAAGCTTATAGCATGCCATCCAGAGTAAAATGTGTCGTCCAAGGACACTACTAAATCAAAATAGACCAATCCTTTTCTCAGCTTTGTGAGAAACAAAAACTGCCATTGGTAGGGAGTTCAGATGTTTACCTGAGGTTACTTGTGCCAACACTCCAACCACAGACATATTAAGATAACATCTAGATTTATTTCCATTGAATGGCCTGTTAATTTCACACTTTCTTGAACTTATATTATCACCATAGTAGTTGGAGAAAAATAAGGAAGTATATACGCAATGTACAGCACATAAAAATGCTGGATAAAAATATTATGAAAAAAAAAACTGCAATAAATATTCTACACAAAACAGTAGTGAAAGTTACAGGTCTATTAAAACTGAATCCAAATTTACTACTGTTGATTATCATGCAATAATACGAGTTGCGGTACAGAAAATGCTCTTTTACTGGTATGAGCACCATCATAGAATAAAATTCTATTCCACATCCTTGGTATGAGTCATATTAACAGTCAGTCCATGGGAAAATTAATTGGTACATGTACACATGGGATAAAATTGTTCTACTTCCTCAAAACAACTTTACTAGGATTGCTTGGTTGTGCATGTATTTAGATATATATCTGTAGAATGTTCATCTATTTATAAATTCTACATTTTGTACATGTTTCATAATCACATTGTAAAATTATTTATAAAAAATATCAGAAATGTTTACGTCATGGTATTTCAGAAAAGAAAATAATTTTCAAGTCAAATACTGGTATATTTTATAGTTGTCTTTGTATTGAAACAGAAACTTAAGCTATTAAGACTGTAAATCACAGCTCAATCATTTTTAAGAAGAGGAAAATTCCATTTCTTAATATGAAACAAACAATCACAACAAAAGTTACAGTACGGCTGTGTAATGCCAACACATGTATACACAAATAAATCTCTACAGATTTGTAAACAAATGGAATAAGAAACTTTAGAGAACATATGCTAAAGAAATTAGTTTTATCTACTTAACCATTTTTAATGCAGTTATATATTTTCTCTCTTCCAAGTGCTAGTACATCCATTTCAGCTGTTCATTCACATGTTTTTCAAGAGATGTGTAAGACAATTCCATTGGAGTTCAGATATCTACCACGCCATACATGTATGTCCCAAGTAACAAGATGGTTGAGGTGGCTGTCAATTCTCACATACAACTTTAATGTTGACCCACTTGAAGCACAAAAACTGTCTCCTTCATGTTACTATTATTTTATCTTAAGTTGTATTCAAATTTTATTGATGCTAGCATTTAGTTACATTTAAGAACAACAAGAGGCCCGGGGCTTAAATGTTCGACACACAAATGGAAACAACTGGAATGACTTTTCGTAAAGGGACAGATGAGTTTTACTTGAAGACCCTTCCATCAATGAAGAGTATCTAAATCTAACATGTTTGGATATTGAGAAGTTTTTTTTAAAAATTGCAGTCAATTTTATCCTTTCTGGCCATGCCTATCAGCCTTTGGAGGTCAACAAGAGTAAAGCAACTTAAGTCCCTCTCATTCATGAAGAATATTTGATTCTACCATATTTGGGTACTGAAAGAAGATTTTGGAAACTTCAGTCCATTTAACCCTTTTTGATCACTCCCCTTAGGCTGCTACGATGTGGGGACCATATTATTTACAAATTTGGTTTACCTTTGGCCATGGAAAGTTTCTGTTTCATTGAAATCGGTTCAGGGGTTTTCCAGAAAAGGTATCAAAAGTAACAAGTTTGCAGACAAACAACAGATAATACATGAGAAAATGGTATTACAATAGGTCACCATGACTTTGTCTCTGATGACCTGAAAATCTTAAAAGTCGGATACATCAATCATAAAGTAAACAAAACTGTTTCATCTCATCAACCATAACACAGCCAAAAGGCTTGACAACATTTGTTACCAGATCTTGGAACAGTCAGCTGAAAAGTGAGATTTACAATGAGAAAAAAATTTTATGCAGATAGTGAAAAAAAAATTCCAGAAGTACTTTCACCAATGAGGACAGATCAGACACTCAATATACAAACATTATCTATGTAGAAGTATAATTACACACACGTATATAATTATCACAGAATTTGAGTTCTTTCTGAATCATGAAGATGTTTTAGGGAATAGTATGGTATAGATATTAATATATATTAACATTATCACATACAAAACTGTTCCTCACCTTCAGAAGTTCAGAGAAACAGAAAGTACTCAGAAACTGTTCCTATGTCTCATACATGCAATTGAATATGTATTTGTACTTTATCAGCGCAAACCATTTTTTTCAATGTCACATACAAAATGAAAGTAAACAATTCCTTAATGTATAGAAAGCCATGGGAGGTATAAGATAGTATTTACAGTGAATGTATAATCAGTATTTAAAATGCATGTAAAACCTGTGTATTATGAAACTCGTTTAAAGTCCAGTTAAACTCTCTCTAGCACAAATCAGTGGTGTCATATAATAATACAATAGTGTAAAGGCAGAGCCTTTCTTCCTGTTACTCACTCTGTAAATTATCAGTAACATTAAAAAGAATATAAGAGGAGAACAACTTTGTATAATGCCACCTTAGTAAGTCCGTTCTTCACATTATGCATAATATAATAAACCTGTATGTCACAAGTCCTGTATTTTGTGAGTGAATAAGTCTTGGCATTTGAGGAATTATAAATGATGATATGAAAACATCAACCATCATACAGATGTATGACTCACAAGTGCTTTGATAACATATACCAGACTGATACAACTAGCACCACAACCAAACACTATGATCAGTATGTCTTTTATTATCACTCCGTATGACAAATCCTTGTGACACAATTTCAAGTGGAATAAACAGGGTAAAATGAAGGCTAGTGCTGAACTCCCAACAGCTCCTACAAAGACAAGATGGAGAATTTTTATGCAAGCTTGTTCACCAAACACAACATAAAAAATGTATCCAGAATCCTTTTGCAGTCAAGATGGGAGCAAACAATTGATCAATTTGGAGTTCAGATATCAGAAAAAATGTTGTTTTGCCATTAGGTAAAAAAGACTCAAATCTAGAAATTGTTGAGCTGCCAGCAGAGATGAGAAACATCAAGCTCTTAAGTTATTATTACTGGGTAATTATAATATATAGAAATGTAACTCCAAACTAATAAAGTAAAATTTTACATATATCTTAAATCCTATATTTCGTTCATTATAATACATGTACGTGTACAATATTACTTATAAAAAAAAAAAAAAAAAAACTCACAAAGCTCCATAACTTACCTGTAAACCCTCCAATATAAGCAAAACTGGCTCTAAAAATGATTGCTAAACCAACAGCTGCTCCTACAACCAAAATCCGTACAATGTTCCTCTTCCATGCTGACACCTGGAAGTAACAATAACAGCTTAACAAAATATGAATATGTTTTCAGAACAGAATTGATAACAAAGTAATTTGTTTTCTCAAACTTTGTTGGGCTTCAGCATAGGAACATACCAGCCAAATCTCATTCCAAGCCCTTCTAGGCTAGGTGAGCTGATAACAATGTATAAGGTAAACAAGGGATTGCAAACACTACAAAGCCATAGTTCCAGCTGGACTTGCCTGAAGTAAGGAAGAAAGCTAAATATATGAAGTTTTGTCAAAGTTCCTCAAGGAATGAAGCCATTAAGGTGCTGCAAAGGATTTTTTTAAAAAAATAGTTTAGGTGACCTTGACCTTGATCCCATAACCCACACTCTCTATCTCATTTATGATATTAATGTTAAGTTTGATGCTAATCTAAAATTATCTGATGTATGAAAATTACAAAATTAATCTAATTATATGACTCCTTGTCTAGATTTTGACTTTGCCTTTTGATCACTTCAGATTTTCCTAAGTTTTCTCATTGGCTTCAATTTTTAGGCCCTTAGCATCACTGAGGAGACCTGGAAGGACAAAACAGCAGTATGTGTCTTCTTTAAGGAGTGAAGCAACTGGAGCTCTAAAAATGGGAACAGTGACCTTGACCTTACAATCCTGAAACTTGGAACTTGTCTTAGATATTCTCATACTAAACAAATATATGAAGTTTGATCAATATCCATTCTGAAATGAAGTCACTTTAAAAAATGACAACTTACAGAATCAGGGATGTGTACAGCTACTGTAACAGGAAGGTCTTCTGTAACATTTGGCAATAAAGATTCCTCCGAGTCGTCCTCTTGTAACAATCTATCCTTTTTCTGTTTAGGCCCACATATACTTCCTGAAATGATTGTAATACAAAGGCAATTTTAAAACCAAGGTTATGATGTTAGTGTGCCTTGGATACAACTTGGATCCTATCATGAGCTTAAAAACTATGTTGGGCATTGCTGTAGAAATATTTTACCTCCAAACTCCTTATATCAGTCAAATGTATCACTTTTGTACAGAAAGATGATCTTATGAAAATATTTTTCTGACATTTGTCATTTTTCAGCAGAATTCCATATGAATTTTTTCAATCTAAAAATACCAAACAGTATAAAAAAAACCCAAATTTTCATGGTTATGTTGTGATATGAGTCATCGTACATAATAGTTTTTCAGACATTAAATAAAAAAGGTCAACTTTTTTTGAGAAATGAAAAATTTACCAAGCATATATATCCTTTACTTTATCCTATACCTCAATGTATAGATATCTGTGTGTTATGCAACAAGTTATCTTAATATACTGTAATACACAACATATAAAACATGATTCTATCTAGGAAGATACCACTATAACAGAGACAGTCTGGACAGCATTGATCCGTTATGATCAGTTTCTATGACGTGGATTGGTAGACTTTGCTTGTAAGAAGGAACTTTTTTTTCCTTTTTACGAAAACAATTCTCATGAAGCAAAATGTAGGGTTCACAACCACTGATTACATCTAAGTATATATATCAGACATTGGCAAAGGGCCACATGTTTAGGGCATTGTGAATAGATAATTTTACTCAAAGGGGTTATTTTGGCTCTAAGTTAACCAATTTTTTGCTTGATGATACACACCTTCACTAAAGAGGATAATTTCTATTAGTTCAATGACTGGGTATATCTGTAGAGGAAAGGTGAGCAGCACTCCCACACACACTCCAATGTTAACAGCAAATGACACCCATTCAGTAGATGGGATGTTGAGGTTGATCATCTGCTGCACGTCGTCACCAAACATGATGTACCCCATAATACCAAATGTACCGAGGATGAGAGTGAGTACCCCCACTGCCCCGTGGAGGAAACAATTGAAGTTGTGTCTGTTTCCCTCCATACTTGATTCTACTGGTATCACCTGTGAGCACATAACAGTTCTTATAGAAACAACACATTCTGATTTAATACTGCTTGTATATATCTTAGTTGATTAATAAATATGTATGATAAAAAAAAAAAAATCCAAAAAAACCTCATTTGTGATTTGGTCAATACAAAAAAATACAAAACATCCTTGCTTCTGAATATCAATCACAACACAAAATAATCATTAATGTATATAATCCATTGTAAAAATAACAAATAATGATAAAAATGTACAATAAAAAGGTAAAACATTTCAAAAATCATATGGAAAATTAATTTTAAAGAGGAGGAATGTAGATATTTTGTGTTTTAGCCCTGAATAAAACATTACACTCCTCATAGAGATTTACATATATTCCAGTATTTCTTCCTTGAAAACTTGTTCAAGCATATATTCCAACAGTTAGATAATAAAATACATGAAAATTGACTTAAAAATGACCACAATCATACAATCCTTAAATAGTCCATGTACCCGTTTATCCAAGTACTATTAGACAATTATCTATAGCATACAATATACTCACAAGTCCTATGCCTTCAAATGCTGCTGTAACCATACCAAAAAACACAGGCACTCCATCAAAATTTGCATAAGCAAATTTGCTCACACTAAAATCTGAAAAAAGTAAAATAAAAAATATCAGGTTTTCAGTAAATTTTATACATCATTCACCAACAAACATCTAATGCCCAGACAGAGGGATTTCCACTTCATGACTATTTTAGAACATATTTTTGTCTTTTGGTTATTTTTTCAATCAGTTGAAGATTTCAAAAGGTTACTGTGACCCTAAATATCAACCATAGATAAGAACAAATTTGATCACTTTTATTTTTTTATTGTAATTTTTTCCTTATAAATTTCAAATGAAACGTAATTGATCTCAGTCATCTAATCAATGAATTCACATTTTAGAATTTTGTTAAAACTTGGTTTCCTATCTTATATGAAGTATCACAAAGAAAATGATGAGGGATGGTTATAAAACCTCACAACAACATCAACAGTTACAAATTTCCTGAAGTAAAAGCACTTACTGAAGATCATGTAGAGAAAGACAGCTACACATCCTCCCAGTATAGATATATTGGCAGTGACGCTGATCCAACTCAAATTACGGATACTGCGTATGAGAGCAAACACAAGAAAGAGGGGCAGCGGTGTCATCACCAACATCTTCAGGTCAGGAGCAGTGCTTTTATCCATACACGACTGTGTCCATGGTTTTGTGGAGTTTTCAGTTGGAGTTGTGGACATGTTTTGTGGTGACAGAGTCGGTGCCATTGTAATGTTGGATGGGAGTGTACTAGTGGTTAGATTTGGTGTAGATAAATTATTATCAGGTATGGTGAAGTGAATTCCAGTACTTAATGGCATGGTTGTTGTATTCAGATCACTTAACCCAGCAGCAATGTCTCGACTATCACTTAAGTGTGGCATAGAGGCCAAGGTTGTAGTTGGAAAGGATACAGGGTATGTTATGGTATTGTTAGCTGTTACATTCCTACACTCTACAGCTATAGGAAACAGCTTATGGATGGTGTTCCCAATGAATATGAAGTATGCAACACAAAAACAGAACTGGGTGGTACCAATAAAAAGATTAACAAGCAAGAGACCTTTTTTCCCAAAACATAGTCTACCAATGTCACCATACGACATGTGCTTCATCATATGGTGTTTCAATATGGCCAGTTCATCAACTTCAATGTCCACATTGGGGATGTCACTGCTGTCACTGCTGACGTGGTTTTCAGTTTGATATCGTTCAGAGAGTTGTTTTTTGACTTTAAACTGACTCAGCAATATCTTCATAGCATGATACTTGGTCTTAACTATGAGATGGCAACAGTGATCAGTGAGGCTGGCGATGATAAGAAGACAGACTACTCCCAGCTGTGATAAGAATAAAAATATATTTGTTTTTTCATATTTTTTGTCCTTTTTAAATGATTGAAAACATTTCTTTCAAAAATCATTATTGTACATGCATAATGGAATTTTTTTTTGTCTTATCACAAAGTCCACTCTTTCAATTTTCTTTCTGATACCCATCTTTCTGCCGACAGAGGGATGAAAACATTCATTTATGAAAAAAGCATATCTCTTTCTCTTATTAGTGCTTCAATTAAAATCATAAAAGAAGAAAGGTTTCAAATATTACATGCAGACCTCTATTTCTTAACATTGGTCATGTCCCATCCCTCAGCCCTGAGTGTGAAAGACTCTCTGTTTATAAAAGTTTCCTTGACTCATTAACATTTCTAACTGAATTTTATTCACACTCATTTACCATAAAAAAGAAATTTGAATATTTAACTCAATCTGCCACCAATAGAAATATGATGCAATGTAATAAATAATAAATTATTGATTTTTTTTCTATCTGGTCTCCTAAGCTTGCTTACTAGATCCATCCATATTGTAACATATGTTTTGGTGGATGTAAATGACAAAAAACTGTTTAAGTAAGTCAACACACTAGATTACATAGTGAATATATAAGTTACATGCATTCACGTTTCAAGAAGATATATGTGTTGGGAATATATAATTTACAAAACTGGTCTGACTACAGTTAGAGAAGATAAGCCTTTTATACCTCCTAAGTACTACTGGTATTTGAACAGATGTTGTCCACTTACATCATGTACATGTATATAATCATAAATAATTGTGCTTTTATCTACAGAGATGTTATCGGGCCTATTCTACTCACCAACAATCCACTCTGTTTAAATGCATAGGCGACACCTAGATAGTTGGAACCAATAAATGCTTTCAGCATATTTGCAAAGTCTCCAAGGTGCATCATCCATCTTGAACCAGTCCTGAAATAAAAGATAGTATTTTTGTAAAACAATAACCACCTAATTAAGGATGCTGAGTTGAGTTGATAAGATAGTAGTACATGTATACACTAAAAAATAATTGGAAGAGGTTAAGTTGTATGTAAAACTGTATATACACTGAGTTGAGATACTATCAGTTAGATACAATAACATGACCTCTCAGACTAATCTAAATGTTTAATATATATCTCTAGCACTATAATGATGATACTTGTTAAGATATGGACATTCTTCTGAGAAAACAGATCTATGTGACACTTAAATGCCCCTAGCAGCCAAGCAAGGATAAAATCAGAAATGTGGAGCATTTTAGTGATACTGGTCTTTAAAGAAGTGACCTTTTGACTTTATAAACTGTTACAGATCCTAGCTAACCAAGGCTGACTGGGATTGACAGTCATTTAACAGCTAACTTGGTGTTATTTTTCTTCAAGCATAATAAAATGAATGGAACCCAATTTTTTTTTTAAATATCCAAGGGCTATAACTCTATAAAAAAATAAGTCATCCACCATAAGATGGAAATTTGGCATTCTTATCAAACAGCTTCACATCAATTTAAATTAATTCTTCATCCAGCTATGAAAAACTGAGCTAAAACTGAAAAGTTCTTGAAATGCCTATGAGTCATATCTCTCTCTCTAAAAACATTAAACACCTCCTCTGTTACAGAATAAATAAATGGAAACTAAAGTATGATGTAGTGATGGACTGGAGCAATCTCCAGATATAAAATGCATAAGAAGTCCACTTTTTCTTTTTCCTCTACAACTTTATGGGTTAGTTATACATACATAAATTTGTACTCATTTGAATTACAACAGGTAAAGTTAGATGTTTACCAAAATCAGTCTAACTTATATAACTGACAAAACTCAATCCTACTTCAGAAATTAATTGATAATTTCTATTTCAAAAACATCTCATGATTTACAAAAATACAATGATTTTCAATGGATACATCATCAGGGACAGCATTTTCAATTTTCCCTACAGGCCAGTTTGATTTAAAAGGATCAATAAGTATGTATAACTAAAACCCATAATAATCAGCATAAATCATGCACTTAGAGCCACAACATAAGAACTGGAAAAATGCTTGAAATTTTTCTTCTAGAAATAAAGCTGTATTGCAAGTACATTAAAAACATGGTTGTTCTCTTCATGTAAAATAAAATATTTCACATATTTGGTCTATTAATCTAAACACTGATTGTCAAAAGTACAGAGATTGTCACTTTAATTCCGGCCTTAATATGTCATGTGAAAATCATTTTGACAGATTGAATGAAAAATCCTTAAGTCAAAATTTCCATGAAATTTAACACTATATCTTTTAAATCTAATTCATTTTCACATTATTAAATTCGTGATCATGTAAACATTTTATTTAACTTCTATAAGTTAGCTATGAGATGAATACATTAAACTAATTGCAATATTAATTATAAAATAAATACATTAAACTAATTGCAATATTAATTATAAAATAAATACATTAGACTAATTGCAATATTAATTATAAAATAAATACATTAAACTAACTGCAATATTAATTATAAAATAAATACATTAAACTAATTGCAATATTAATTCAAATACAAGTATGTAAGATCCATAATACATCAAATTACAGTAAAACAGTGAATAAGCCAAGTATCAACTGTGTGTTCCAAACATCATATTCCTTGTAATGTAGTTTTATATGTGTACAATGCTTATTATACATGCAAAAGTTAAACTGCAATAAACTATTGACAAAAACTTTTTTGTCGTAAAAAAGTTTAGCAATAACTTACATTTTATCAAGGTTGAAATTATCCTTCCCAAATATTATATTATGATCATGTATCACAAGCTAAATGATGAAGATCAGCAGCAGAACCAGCACCCGTTCATGCCTGTCCTGATAAGACTTAAGTCAAGCACAAGTCATACGTGACAGCTCCATGCTGAGGTCAGCTGACATCCAGTACACACACAATAAATAGCAAAGTATAATCAGTGGAAACAAAGTCCATGAATAACTGGATAGCTATGGAGGAGACTGGATGTAAGTGTAACTGTGAGGTTACTGATACAACAAGACCCTACTTCCTGTAAACAATGATGTAGGTGACACAACTTAAAGGTCAACACATGTACACCACACCAATTCATGATTAAGACAACGTGGCTTATCTTGTAAGTTCAATATCCCTTTGCATTGTAGACTTGTCTAAGTCACTATTACTTTTATGATTTTAAAATTTTAAAATTTTAATTTTAAAATTCCTGTGATTAAATTTTGAGAAAATGTTCAGTATTGTCTAGGTCACTATTACTTTTATGATTGTATAAATATCATGTGATTAAATTTTGAGGTTTAAGATTTTTAGCATAGCCTTTTATCTTACATTTTCAAAATCAAACAGACCAACAGTGAGAACATAAATCCTGGTATCTACACAGATACTTTCCATATATAAAACACAGTCTTAATTCTGCTGTGTTTAGTGACACATGTACCAGGTACAAATTTAAATTTAGATTGTGACCAATACAGATAATGTTTTTAAACCTAAATTTAGTTTTATTATACATATCTAACCTGAACAGTAGTACTAGAATTATTTTAACCATTGATAAGAAAGAAATGTGTAGAAATCATTCAGAATCGAAAACTTATCTTTTTGAGTGAAAATCCATACATCTACCCATTTTCACAACATTTTCACTGTCTGATTATACTAATAATGTTATAATATTTTCTCAGCTGAGCTTACGTAATAAGATGTCTTGAGGTGTTGTGAAATTATACTGAAATTAAAGATGGCTCATCGGACATAACAACTGAAGAAGCAGAAAACTGGAAATTCCTTTAAGATCAAGACATACCAAGTACACAGTTTACAGTAAACAGTATACGTAAGAACCAGAACAAATCATTCAATCTCTTTCAAATTCACTTTTATCTTACTATTGCACCATCACCAGAGGAACCCTATTGCTGCAACTGTGGTGATGTTTCAGACAAGAGACAAATTTTAACTTAGCTGGTCAAAGTTCTTCTCAAGGCTTTCCTGTAATTTCCATGCTTTATATCAATAATTTTAATTCAACCACTGATTTTCCATCCATGTATAGCACTCACAATAATCATAAATGCTTTGATGGCATGCAGTGTTATTTTAACCAGAGTCATTCATCCTAAATAAACAATGGTTCATGGAGGTAATCCAAAAATTGAAGCAAAAGGATCATAATTTCTGAAAGTTCTGTTAGTTAATTTACAGGTACATCAATTGAAAAATTACTCTCTTATTGCCAAACAGATGCCTTTATTCGACAAAATGCCAAATGAGATATACGCATAAAGGAAATTTGGTGAAATATCTAAGATTCTACAGATCAACATCTTTATTCTTGAATAACCATTTCTGTAAGTTGTGACCATAACAACACACTATGAACAAGAGTATAATGGGGAAGAACAATATATGCCTACCAAATGCAAAAGAAATACCATATTAATGATTTATTGTATTGAAGTGAATGCAAACATGAAAATCTAAATATTGAGTCAAAATGCTTAGAGGAAAAATACATATATCTATAACAATGTAGCTGAAATGGGATGAGGTATTTGGGCGGAATTTAAAATGATAAGAAAATATATATATAATATAGTTGAAATAATGTTGAATCAAATGATGTTCAGGAATGCAAAATGTCTGGTTATTGTTTTAAAGCCGATTATGTTTCAAATATATTGGTATGAAATTGAGGGAGGAGATCCCTGTACAGTATCAAAATGCTGACGGTGAAACTCCTTAATAATGTTAAATCATGCTAACACTCAGGAGAATGCAATTTTGTGTCATGGTGATTAAGCCTACCTCCCGGTATATAGTTTGAAAGAAATCAGATATAACCTGAGAGAGAGGAAATATGTGGACAAGATAAACAGTATGAAAGCAACAAGGAACAATAATTCTTCAGAACAGCTTCAAACTGTTGTCAAGTAATGTATATTATGAGATGACACTTGTTGCAATCGCCACTTGTTCTTCCTCATTATTAGTGATAAAAACTTCACTGTAAGCTAACTTGTGCATCTTAATGATTTAGTGGTGTCATCAGAGACGGAAGTGCAGTCACATGTCCGATACACATGTCGGTCGTTTCAGGTGAGAGAATGTGAAGTAGGATCTGAATATTTAGGATATTTTCTATAACTATACTAGTGTTTTATCGATGAATATTTATTGAATATAAATCGTATAGTACAAACACATTTGAATTCATTTATGTATTTGTTTGTAGGCAATACGTCGAAATGGCGTGGCTAGCAAGAAATGATTCTTAAAGGGTCCTAATCTAATGCGCAATGGATACACTCTATGGGCATTCAACCATGGATGGCGTTTTTATAAGAAGGGTAAACCCAAAAATAAGAGGTACAGTTTGTTTAATGAATGGGATACGAAAAAAATACACTTTATCCGGACTTATTAACTTCCCTGAGAGGTCCATATTAAATCTTACCGTTCTGTTGTCATGTTAATGAGTGATGTCTGTGAAAGTTTATATGTCTTCAGGTGTCTGTCTTCAGGATTTTGACGTCTGAACACAAAACTATAACTCTTTTTTAAGGAGGTAAAAATGTCAAATTTGAGGTGGCCAAAAATGTAACGGGAAATTGTATTGGTTCAGATGTAAAAACCTGACCAATCAAAACTGCTGTATCTGTCGTAAATTATTTTTATACCGCGATATTCGAACTACTGAAAGTTTGAGACAGGTAAAATTTATTAGCATAGTGTCTATTGAAGACAATTTGAATGCTATTGTTGTAATATGTTGAAATAGGCGGGAGAGATAAGTTTCTGTGCTGAGATGCTATAGTTATGTTGCAGTCTAACGATCCTATATGTTTGTTTACATGATGATCGGGTGTACGTAACTGTCAGCAGGGCACGGAGTCGACTAGTTGAGTGTTGACTGATCGTGACACAAGTCACAGCCTTTTCGAATCTCCACATGATTGCGGATAAAAAAACCCAAAATGTTTCCATTTTAAGCGAATTCTTTTCTTTCATGTTCACACAGAATGAAAAAAGTTTTGAAAACAGGTTGGACACACCCCGGCATTAATGGATTTGAGGGATAGATACTGCTTTCAGTAATCAACTAATTTCTCAAATGCAGGGTCATATTGCGACAGAAACATTTACAGTTCTTTTAAATATTTGCAACAAAAAGGGTTTCATCTCTATATCATACCCTATAGCCAATGTAACGTACATATTTGCGTAAGAACTATTCGTTTCTAGATCTGTTAAACTTTGTGTTATAATGACAATAGCCAGTGGGAGCATTTAGTGCGAATGTAATAAGTGAACATAAATTTACCTGTGTGTGTTTTAGCCACACTTTAAGCAGCTGATAAAGTAGGAGGTGTTAAAATTTGATTCTTTACAAACTGTGAGTTAGCTGAATTATTAGCTTTTTTTGTGTAAAAATGTACAATGATGCATTGGTTATTGGACCATGTCAAAAGTATGATGCTCTTTTTGTTGCAAATGCTTAACTTTATGGATTTTAATTTCAAAACAACCTTTTATTTGAGTAACTAGTTGATTACTTAAAGCAGTAACTGTCCCTCTAATGCATGACAGTGAATTTGTGCAATCAACCACGTTCAGGACAGAATTGAAAGTTGCGGATAGATAGTCAGAACCCTTCCTTCAGACTACTGAAGTCTTTGGAAAAGGCTGATATAGGCAAGACCAATTGTCCTATCCATTTCTTTATGCACTTATTGGGACTGTTATTGTATTAAATATACTGAATATATTACTTTAAAATAAACTGTTTTGAATTGAAATCTCCACAAGCTTGTCAAGATAAGTCTATTTCAGATTGGCTGTGATTGTGTGGTCAGAATGCACACAAATACTAGTCTGTTGACATAGGATGGCTAAGTGGTTGCACCAGTTGATACTGCAAGATGATAGTATATGTACAGATGATAACTACAGGGGCACTTCAATATCATAAAGCTTATATCTTATACACTTGAGCTATTTGTCTACCTACGACTTATAACCTGTTTTAAGTCATAGGTAGATAGACAACTCAAGTGTATTAAAAGCATTACATAGCGACTGCATCTTTACAAGTCTCAATGGGGCTGTAAACAGTTTTTCCCCAAATATTATTTTATTCAAATCAGGTTTCACATAAGCATAAGTGGATTTAAAATACATTTTATTGGTGGTTTATTGTTTTTGATCATTGACAGAATATTCCAAAACATGAACTTAATGTGTAACATTTCAAATATCTTGTACAGGTGACAGGTCATTTGTTTTGTAAATACGTGTGCATGGTTTGGAGGAAACATTTCAATTTGGGGGCATGTAAACAACTTAGCATCTATGTGTTTACTGGATTTCTATGTATTTGTCTTTTTTTACTTTTGAGGCATTTTTTACGAAATTGTTACAAGTGTTAACACAAGCTTAAATCAACATCAGCACATGTATATGTATAGGCAATTATTCAAACATAAAAGTAAATTGTTCTTAATTATAAACTGAGCTTTATTGGAAAATGAAGTGGTGACATTCTTGAAATTCAAATACATGTATATGTTATAGATATGAAAACATCTAATGAAGGTAAGGGTGTGTAAACCTATTGAAGGCTGTAGTAATCATTTAAACCTCTTTATGTCAATATATAAGCTTTTTTATCGTCCTAAAATGACATGTCATGTGTCAAACAGAGGGGGCATCAACAAAAATCAAAGGGTTTATTAGTAATTTTTATTTCTATTATAATGTCCCTTCTTTCAGTTTTGAACTGAAATTTCACTATATATTGAACTAAACTCATGTTATTCTACAAGTTTTCTTTATCTTATGTACAAATATCATATCGGTTTTGACATTTCTATTGTAACAATATCACAAAAATGAAAATTCTTTTCCTATCCTACAACTGCAAGTTCTCAGTTACAATCAACATCAATGTAGATAATGTAAACATAGATTTAGAATCTTGTTAGCATCTTTCAAATATATGATATTTTTAGGCATTTCTGTCATGAGATCTCTGCTGCAGAAAATTGCACAATGACCTAGGGGTCAGAATATCTGCATTATTGTACAGTTTGCTTCATGACTATCATTTTGAAATATCCTCATCAAATTACATACCTGACAATGCAAACTGAGAGGTCAGTGTACATTATTTATGTGTAGTTTTGATCAGCTTAATGATGGGGATGGAGATTATGTTGGCAGAACATTCAACTTCGTCAGTAAGACAAGATTGATCAAGCAATAGAAAGAGTCATGCAGGCAGTAAACCTGTGACTAATCAACCAACGCCAATCATGGTAAATGGGTAATTAACTTAAAATTAGGTGCAAAATCACTGCAGGTACATTCTGTTGACAAGAAGCAGCTAACTGCAACAAACTTCCAAACAAGTATGTTCAAGCCCCATTGTTAAAGTTTTAAATCCTGTTTGTATAGTCTTCCATTTAAGTTTTACACAAGTTGTAACTGGCAACTGGACGTCATGACTAAATAACAAATAAACTAACACACCCACATTAGCCAATCTAGACAAACACCTGGTGTCAACTTTTGAATTGAAAGTATCAAATGAAGGTACCAGGTATGAGTAACTCATCTGAACAAGCCTGACCTTGTCTGACCTCTCAATTAGGAATAGATTTGGAGGATTAAGGCTTTAATTTGTACTTCATTACTGACAATACGACAGAAAAAATTGACTGTTTTTTCAGAGTTACACGTGTTCTTTTTTTCTAAATCTTGTCTTGTACACCAAGATGGGAAATTACTTGTAATGTTCTGTGTTTTTTCATATTTGTTGAAATGCCCAGTTGAGCAATGCAAGCTAATACACATGGGCCTCTACAGCTACCACAGTAGCCAAGAATCTAAGATGTTCCAACCACATCAAGTTTTATTATAGTTTGTGTATGATATTCAATCTTACATTTTTTAATTGATATTATAAATGGTAGTATTTCTATTTGTCAGGATGGATGACACAGATAACTTAACTAGTTTCGACAAGTTCTTGAGTATACAACAGGAAATTGCTGCCATTCTAAGCAACACAGATTGGTACAACACAAAACCTTTAGGGCAGCTCCAGGCAGTGTGGCGAGAGATCAGGACAATTCGGGAATCACAGCAAGATCAAATCAAGAATCTGATGAAAGGTCATTATACTGCATGTTTTTATACTTTGCTTGCTCCTTGTACCAAAGTACAAATACACTGTATATGTATGTAACATGTCACATGTAACTTTAGGGTCAGAAAACGTTTATCTGGAAAGTGATTAAAACTTCATTGTTGGTTTACTACATATGTATGTCTTTAAACTAGGAAGTGATAGAGGTACAGAAATATCTAACACAATGGTAGTACAGCCTTTGTGATCTTTCAAACATTAAGAAACACCTCAGTTTTATCAATTTTCAATAACAGTAATATGTACCCTCTGCCAAATTAAACTGGTAATGTTCACATAGAAGTGTTGTTAAAATGTATATACACCTGTACGTTCCTAACACAGTGCCATCATCAATGACTGCAGATATCAACTGTATGATAAATGCTATTAATGATATAATATCATATGAAGTTAGGAATTTGAAAGAAATTTGGGGGCTTTGGAATGTTTATACAAGCAAGACATATCTTTGTTTTATTTTACAATGTTGTTGAGTCTTATTGAAAACATATCCCACCTCCAACCAAAAAACAAAAACAAAAAATAGTGAAAAAGTTAAGACAGAAATGTTATGCTGATTGTAAAAAATGAAGTCAAACATACTGCTTCCAACAAGTATTAATAGGTTGATATAAATACCATAAACATACTTATTTCAATGATGTTCTTTTTTTAGTACATTTCACACTGAAAATATAAAGCTGAAATATGACTGTACATATTGCAGATTCAGTATTTTGTTTATATGTGAAGCAATAATTGTGGATGCACTAATTCATCATTGCACTATCTGGTAATTTGCCAAACATTATTTGAACTTAAATTTGATTGCACTAAATTCAGTACATTTACAGTAACAAGTTTATTGTGCCAAAGTTAGCAAATGTTTTATACAATATAAAGTAAAAAAGTATTGGTATTATAAATATGTAATCAGGAATTCAGACAACACTGGATTTCAATCAGAGCAGATTTTTTTTTACATATTTTCACAACTCAGTGTAGTTGGCCAGGAAGTTTCAAAATCAGTGTCCTCTGATTGAAAAGATCCAGTGAATCAGGGATTTCGCCAGCTGCTTGAATGGTCTGGTATTGAGCCCCATTCCCAATTGAAAATCATCTTGTGTTTTGTCAAAGTCGTTAAAAGATTGCTTTGTGTTAAAAGTTTACAATAGTATACATTTGATATGATGTAGCCAGCTGTTAGTGCAGATTTTTGAGATGAAAATTTTTACTGTTAACAGGTCCTTTTGCTGATTGAACGAGAAAAGATACACCCCTGAATGATGAATAAATCGAGCATAACTGAAAAATCATTAAGTCGTTAGTGGAATAAAATTGACCTAAAACTGATGCTTTTTTCTCCAATTTGTGGTAAAATGTCAAATTTTCACAATTGCAGTGCAGGATCCATTCTCAAAATGCTTAGTAAAAACTTTGTCCATATCCGGAATTATCTTAAGTGTTATATGCATAACACTTCAATGATTGATGGAGCAAGGGTTGTTCTGGAGAATGCATGTTGTGGATGCTGAATTGGCCTTGAATTTCATAGTTCAGTAACTTACGTCAAAATTTGATCAAACTAAGAATTGGCACTGTCTTGATTTTTGTTTTGGAAAACATTAGTGCTACATTAATAACACCTGTGTGGTTAGATAGAGTTTTACAAAAGAAGAATTCATTTCTCAGCATATTTCTAAATTGCCAAAGTTTGTTATTTACAAAATGTGGTGTGTCTCAAAATTTGAACTGGTTCCATGAGTTAAGGGTTATTGATGGCAATGTCTGTTTTAATTCATTAGAAAATATCATCCATATGTACATATTAACACTGTTTCAGCATGGCAAGATTATGAGCATGATGAGGCCAGTAAAACAACCTGTGGACAAGATGCCGCACACATATTGTCACAGGAAGAATCAGTACAAGGGGAGGTAACCCAAGCCAAACAATCACTCATTAAAGCAAAAGAGGAGCATAAAGATGTCCAACAAAAGTTAGAAGTCAGTAAGGCAGAGCTAGACAAACTGGTGCAAGATAGAGAAGTTGTAGAGAAACAGACAACACAGTCACTTCCAAAGGCCAGGTAGTACAATCAAACTATACATCAGACAGTAATTCACCCTGCATGTCAATGTACTGTTATATCACATCAACAGATGCAACCAACTGCAGCAATGTTTTTATCAGACCAAAATTGAAACGTTAATGTAGTTGATATACTTACTATTTAACATTTAATTTCAATAGAGTTTCACTCTGAATTGTGTTTACAGAATGGCATCAAAGTATGACAATTTTTCAAATTGATAATGTCTTAAGTAATAGAATGACTTAATGTAAGACATACAGCAACAAAAGTGACATTCTCCTTCAAGCAGAACATCATTATTGTGAGATTTTATAAACATAAATATGTAAATTTGAGTAACAAATCACTATGTTAGAAGAAAATATACATACCATAGATCTAGAATTTCGAGAAAGGGTTGTTATATTTAGAATTGGGCAACAGAATTTAAATTGGAAAAAGAAAAAAATCTCTGTAGTGCCTCAAAGAAGAAAGGTATTTTTTCACTATGATGTTTACAATTGTATTAAAAAAGAATATTTGTCTTGTATACTAAACAACTGAAAACTTTGTGTTTCAAACCAGTTCAGATGTTCAAAGGTCTTGATAACAGTGAAATGATTTAAACGATTTTTCACCATAAATACTAGATTTTTCATTGATAGTTTATTTTCTTACTTTTAAATACTAATGGCTTTCATTGAAAAAGTGAAATTTCATTTATTTCACCATTAGTAGAATTTCACAAGAAAGTTTTCATAAGGATTCCAAATAAAGCTATTCACTAATGCATCACACTGTATATAAGAAAACTTCCTCTAGATTTATCAAAAAATCCTATTTTTGATATCATGTCAAGAAATAGATATTTTGATAGGAGAAAATTTGTTTATAGGAAAATGGTACCCCATAGATTTGCCTATTTTTGTCACTCTTATTTCATATGATGCAATAATATATTTTGTTTTTGTAGATATGATGTAAACCTGTACATGAATGTCACAAACATAAGGTGGCAGTTTGACAGTGAACCTGAGGAAATCAAAGGCTGTATCCTTACATATATGAGTTAATACATGTGGGTATTTTGCTGTGAACAACATGAACAGCATTAATAATAAATCATTAATTCTTAACAGTTATTAATCCAGTTTATTATATGATGGTCATATTTCATACATGCTGATTGATCAGAACACCTTTCATAGGTCTAAATATATCAATATATTACAGGTAAACAGGCAGAGTCCTTGTATATGAGGTGAATATAACAGCCCAAAAATCCTGTTTGGCATCTCAAAGGTGAAAATATCAATACAGTCACCTGATCTGCGATTTTTGACATTTCAGAAGAATAGAATAATTGTTGACCTGTTTTCAGACAAATATGAAGATTTACTAACCCCAAACAGAACCATTCTCAGGTTAATGGGCCATCATGGTAAAAATATTAATTTTGTTATTTACTGTACATATTTTATACATTTCCGTTTACGTTTCTATGCTATCTTAGTATTCCTAATCAATTTTAAATGTCCAGCTTGACCACTTCTTTGGTTCAGGAAACCCCTCTCAAATTCAGCACTAATAACCTTATGTAATAGTTTTGTAAATGAGGCAGTTTATTCTGTAAACACGAACACATGATGGTGGGTAGAAATGAAAGCGACAGCAGTAGTAGGTAGAATTTCGGTTTTCAGCAATGGAGTTTGATATAGGTATGGCAAATGTTATTTGATAACTCCAATTCAATTCAGAATTATGAAATGAGCCAACATTGTCATGACCAATTCAGGCGAAAAGCCATTTTGTTTATGAGCAACTATGTTTTGTGTGCATGTGTTATCATATATGATGCACAAATCTACACATCTAGTGTGTTGATTGACCGATAAGCATTTCCTATTTATAAATTATTAATTAACCTTTTGATGTGCATATTTCAGCAAAAACCAACTGTCACTGTTCATAAGGTGATATACTTGATACATATATGCAATAATAAAAAATATTAGTGAAAAAAGAAGTCCTCTCCTCAAATGAACCTTAATTGGAAGCCTTCTTTGGTAAAGACATCCTCCTGTTAAGCTGGTAACAATGTGAAGAGTAAAGTCAGTTGATCAGACACTAATACCATTTTGTACAGTTAAAACATTGTACATGTAGTTTAATGTTGTTAGGATCCTTGACTATTTTCAGTTGTTTGCAACAAGAATGATGTCAAACCATTCTCATTGAACAGCAAACAAGTGTCAAAGTTTTTTATCTCAAATTATCTGTGGGACCTGATAGAGGAAGACTGGTAAACCACAACAGAGGCAGGTTAGAACCCTTCAACAGTAGCTGAAGTGATGTTAAAGATGTTTAAATTGGGAAACAGCTTTCCTGTATTTCAACTAACTAGAACCTTCAACAGTAGCTCAACAGTAGCTGAACTGAAGTTAGAGATGCTTGCATTGGGAAACAGCTTTCCTGTCTTTCAACTACAATGGGAACTGTTGTAAACTGTTTTACAAAACCGAGTAATCATAGCCAGATATCTTGAGAAAGGCAGACAGTTTGACAACCTATTCCGTGTTTGTGCAATAGATGTTTAATTTTGAATCTATAACAGAGTTTTCATTAAGGGCTTTTCCTTAGCAAATTTGCCATAAGAAATAAAAATACCAGGTAGATGCTCTGTAATCGTTAAGATATTCCACATACACTCAGTAGCAGTTGGTATATTTACATAGACACTTGATAACAAATTATGATAAAACTTGATAAATGATCAAGTATGAGTATCCCTTACATTAAGTTTGTGTTCCAGTTTATAGTTCTAAAGTCATTACAAAATTTGTTATTTATAGAAAACAAATGACGTCATCACCTTTACTACAGAATTTAGCATTAAATTTTGATAAAATTGTGTACAGAAATATACATATTAATTTGTAACCTTTACTGAAAAATATACCAACATGCATAGGAAATACCTCTCCTTGTTTATGCTCCACAGTTTCAGTATAGTTCAATGTGTATATATTGTAAAGTTAAAATATGTGTGTTTATCTTTTATGCTTCTTACTCTTTAAAGGAATTTGTAATTGAATCTTGTTTACAGAGTGCTGGTATTAATACAATACCTTTTTACATTATTCAATAAAATGTACTTTTTACTCTAAGTTTATGTGTTTTTTTTTTGTGTTTGAAGCAGTGGCAGTATTGCCTAACTTTTGGAGATTTTCATGGAGAGTGTCTAAATTGATGTTAGCACCAGATGAGGAATGATATTTTGGTGACATCCATGTAGTTACATCATCACCCTTAGTGAAATATTAGATGCTTTCAAACAACGTGGGATATTTTTTTTTGTCAGACCATTCGACAAAGCATTTGAAATACTGATGATAATAGTATCCCTTACATTGAGATGAACTAACAAAATTAATTTGTACAGGTAACATAATTCAGATTCAGGCTCAAAATATACTATAGACATGCAATTGATATTAAGTAGGATTCCATCCTCTTCTTTCCCTGTTCACTGTCTTGCGGTCACCCTCTGTGACGAGCCCTCATCTCCGTGTCCCCACTCTCTCCTATCACTCCATGCTATTGCCTCTCTACTTATTTTCCTACCTGTTCTCTGCCGCTGAAAGGCCGTATTACTGAACGATCAATGAATCGTTGTGATAACACCTTGATGATAAGAGGATATCACCTACTGTTATAGGTGATGTCACCATAATGAATACGATATCATTAAATCATTTCAACACTAGACCTCGAGCATCACATTCAGGGACGAAACAACTGTATGATAGACTTTGATCCATGCTTTGGTTAAAGAAAGATGTTATTCATTAGTTTCCTTTGAACGATCGCCATGTTTTCCTTGCGTGTAGGAGACAGACGTTTTACAGAACCCTGTTGTCACGTACTCGATTCCAAAAGTGTATTGAATCAATCTTTGTTGTTGTAAAGGGTTATAGTAATTGACATTAATTTGATATGATGCAACAAAAACTTTCACAAGTTTTATAAACTACTACGAATCGTATATGGAAGGGGGGTCAAGAAAACCTGCGAATTAATCAACGTGGATTACAACTCTAAATTATTCACATTTCTAGCAGTGGAGATCTGCTCGAGATGAAACGGTAAATATGACTTTAAGCCGACTCTGACTGATACCAGATGCATACTAATGGTACCTGTGAGGTTGATACTATATTCATAGGTTTTATGTGACGAGACGTATATCAAAATAAAGAAAGATTGGTATGTTTAATTGGCGAATACCTGTAAATGAATGAAATGGCGATAACCAGAATCATTCGAACGCGAATGTCTATATTCACGGGGTTTTCTGTGACTAATTTGTGTCTTCGTTTGGATTTCATAAAAACCAAACTGATGTTCCTTAAACTTGCTATTTATTAACCATTACTCCCTCCCTGGTTGATATACAGATTAGAAAACCTCGACGTGCAGTGGTACAACATTTTATGTTGCTGTTTACATCAAACCTTAACAGTGTCCAATGTATCCAATCCCCTGTAGCGATCGACCCCGCAAAGCGACCGCTAGTGATGACCGTCGTATACAGTCAATGTACTAGCGCAATCGATTTATTACCGCAGTCAAAACAAGTACATTGTTTGGGCGTAATGCATGTGTCTGTCAGAACAGTACACAACAGGTTGATAACCTACACTACCTACGGAACAAACGGCGTCCTCCACTGGACTCATTTTGTAACGACGTCGCGGTAATAATTATACCTGGGGAAGCGACGATTGGAGCGTTTTATGGACTTGCGTTGCAGAACCGGACCGCTTATGCGACGGAAATGTAATAATATGGGGATAGATGGTACCAAACTAGTCTTGATAATGGACATTACATGGCATTCAATGTAAGGACGATATTATAAAACCAGTGACTCTACCATCTTTAAGACACCATGGCATAGACACGATTTTCCAACAGGATAACGCCCCAGTGCGTACGATTCGCGACAGCAGATCTTTCATGCAGCGGAATTGAAACCATCTTAATTGTCACCAACTAAGCATGTTAGGACGTTCTTTGGCAACGCGCAGAAGACGCTAAAATCAGCCGTCAACTTGCAGGGGCTGACCAAAACCTTGAAGGATGAATGGAACAATATATCTCCCTGAATTAGTCGTCACTTTTCGAGTTCTATGCGACCACACTGCAATACTGTATACCTTAAAAACCCGTTGCCATTGGTGTCACATTTGGAATTGACCCCAACGTCCTTTTACGCAATTGAAAGCAAAGTTTTGCTTTCAACAATGACAGTAGTTTTATTTGATATGATTAATGATCTGTTTGCACGTTAAAGACGAGAATTTATACAGGGAATACTTAATTTATCACGACATGAAGCGATATTTCTTTGTGTATAAATAGTATATCTCTTCATTTGTCTCGTTTTTAATTACTTTATATCACTGGTGATCTAGAAGTATATGTACATGAAACTGTCTTTATCCCATCACGATAAACCTAGCATGTAATTAAAAATACCAGCTATCTATCTACAGTTATGTATGGTAACTGTACAACTGATAACGGCGGTGTAGGAACTTTGATACCTGTATATCAAAGAGTCACGCCGAGTCGGACGTCCGAGAACGGAACACTGTAGATATATAAGAGGAATTTGTGATGGTTTACATGGTAGGTTACTAGTTAATTATTATCGACCGAATTATCGGGTCAAATTCAAGTGTTTACTTCCTCATCATCGTAATTACGAGCCGTGGATGCACGCGCCTGAACCGCCGCGGTCTAAAAAGTAGATTGATGGATACGTGTACACGTAAAACACTACTACGCGGTACACGTACACCATCACAGGCGGTACACGTCAAATATTACTATGCAGTGCATGTTCTACGCAGTACATGTAAACCATCACTAAGAGGTACACATACACCATCACTATAGGCTCATGTAAACATTACAACGAAGTACACATACACCATCGCTAAGAGGCACACATACACCATCGCCAAGAGGTACACATACACCATCACTAAGAGGTACACATACACCATCGCTATAGGCTCATGTAAACATTACTATGAAGTACACATACACCATCGCTAAGCGGTACACATACACCATCGCTAAGAGGTACACATACACCATCACTATAGGCTCATGTAAACATTACAACGAAGTACACATACACCATCGCTAAGAGGCACACATACACCATCGCCAAGAGGTACACATACACCATCACTAAGAGGTACACATACACCATCGCTATAGGCTCATGTAAACATTACTATGAAGTACACATACACCATCGCTAAGCGGTACACATACACCATCGCTAAGAGGTACACATACACCATCGCTATAGGCTCATGTAAACATTACTATGAAGTACACATACACCATCGCTAAGAGGTACACATACACCATCAATAAGAGAACACATACACCATCGCTAAGAGATACACATACACCATCACTAAGCGGTACACATACACCATCACTAAGAAGTACACATGCACCACCACTAAGAAGTACACATACACCATCACTAAGAAGTACACCATCACTAAGAGGTACACCATCACTAAGAGGTACACATACACAAGCAAAAGGCGATACCTGTAAACCATCACCAAGTTTTAGCTGTACACCACTACTACGCGATACATGTACAGCAACACAAGTCGATACCTGTGAACCATCACTAGATGGCATACATACCAGAGCTAGTCAATCACTACTTGTCGACGGTACATTTTTGCATCTATCTCCAGACAAGTAAGGTGTTATCTAATGTCAGTTTCGAGCATTACCACGACAAAAAGTCGTGTTGTCATGATTCTTAACACGACCAATATATCAATTTGTCGCGATAATCATCATTACTATCGACTTTTGTTAATATGACAAATGACCGCGATATATTAACAAATTAGCATGGCAACGCGACGAATAGATGGCAGTTACATGCTACCATAGGATATTTTTCAGAAATGTAGTGAAACAAATTTGAATTACATGATTCGCTGTTGATCCGTCGAGTTTATCAAATTATTATAAATACCAGTTTTAAAACTATTAGACGTGATCTATAAAACCTGCATGTTTACAATGATGTCAAGTCAGAGAAGAGTTGAGGTAAGATAACGCGACGTGTCAGTATTATCGTGGTAAAAGATCGAGTACCACGCTCCTGTCGGATATACCATGACCCTTTAAAGTCACGTGCTATTCTATGTTTGTCATCTGGCACTTTTTATGACGGAAAGTGAGAAATACGTCAGCCATTTTCTTCGATTATGCTAAATCATACACTGCTTTTCGCAATGTTCAAACAGTGATTGATTGTAGAGTGCGATTAGTGGAGATACGGGTATAGTCCATAGTCAATGATTGGGTAGCTGTTTACCCTTAACCGGTACATGCGTATCTTATACCTGTCTGACCCAACACGTCTATTATGACGGACGGACGGGGCAAAGTACGAAGACTACACTCAATGCTGGTTGTGCGGGCTGGAAGCTGGTAAGTAGAACTGTGTCAAACTATTTTTTGCCATTTGTGTATTTTGCAAGTTTACCATAAAAATACCCCCTCTGTGTGACTGACACCGTTTTATATCCTTTATGGGTTGTCGGCGCCTCGTGATGGGCCGTGTCAAATCTAGGGCGAACATGTACCAGTTGGTAGAGCGTTCTGTTATCATATTGGTGTGTAACTATCGTATAGTTCACGGCATGTATTTCTGGTCTGTGGTGAATGGTACTAGATCGTACTACAGTTCTCTGGATTACAACACGGTTAACGCGTCGTCAAACAACACTGGAGTTCTAGAGATCTGAGCAGAATATGAAAATAAAATCCCATTACTAGATGACAAAATCTAGGGTACGGGACATGTATGCCTTAAAATTCGAGGACACCCCCTGACCGTCCGCACTATTTAGAAATTGTATATCATCTAATGGATGATGATTTTATATTTTTTTGGTAGCCACCTTTCCTACAGGGGATACTCATCCACACAAGTTATGAATCTTCATATAAGTATTGTTACTACTCATGGAAAGAAATTTTCGTAAAGTTAATACCAATAAATATAGCATCTAAATTAATTTATATTGATTTATATTTATGAAACGAATAAATTTTTCGTTTCAGCGACGTTAGACATTTTGGAGTCTTGTAAATAGCATATCAATTGGAATAAGGGTAGCTGAAATGCAAAGTTCGTGACATTCAATTGGAAACGAATTTTATATGCTTTTTAATACACGATCTATTTTTCAAGTAAAAAATGCTTAAAACGTCAAGCTTGAAGTCTTTCCGCTCTACATTTATGGTCTCCAATGTGTTTAGCATCATCACACTCGTCCGCTGAAAGGCCGTAATAGTGGACATTAAACCCGTTAGATAGATAAATAGTGTAGCACCAGTTAATTACAGAAAGTGACGTCACGATAAGTTATATTATATATGTGTACATTGTAATACGCAAAAATATCAATTTCATATTTTACGGCATTGGTACTTGTTCTTGACAAGCTGTCGATTTTGTAACTTTTGTGTAAATCAAACCAATGTATTCCCAATGAAAGTGTGTGGTAACTTCTGTAACAAAGTAAAAGTGGCCAAAACTAAACGGTTTGAATGATTAAGCGTTATTTTGCCCAAAGTGCTGTTGTTGACAGCATTTCCAGTAGTCTGGTACATAGTACTGTCCCAGGTCAAAATGTCCTCACGTCGAGACAGTTGCATCTGGGTTGTACATTTGCAGAATCGCTCTAAGCTGCAGCCTTGACGGCCTGGCGTATTCATGTTCTACGTAGAGTCAGGCCAAGAACGGAGAGAAACTAATTACATGAACGGCACATTTGTTCATGATGTCTAAAGATTATCCCGGTCCTGAACAACATCATTCTCTTTACTAGACGGAATCAACTGTATACCTTGACGTTAGACAAGGCTTGGTTCCGTTTGGAAAGTAAGAATAGACGCTCAAGAGTGTGCTTTAGAAAGATCTTTCCTGAACAGATGTATCTTAGAGCGAATGTTATAGTCTTAGTTAGACCGGCACACCTTGATGATCATAGATAGAAAATTTGATAGGTGTAAGCAACCGTGAAGAGACCTTAAATCCCATATCATAGACTTTCCTGTTGTAACAAAATGAGTAAAAAATGGGTTAAATGGTAACTTTGGAATGGTGTGTATCGTAGAGAGCAACATCTTAGTTTAAAGTACATCAGGTCAAAAGTCAGTCAATGCTGGACCGAGGTAAAAACCCCGTGAGTGATAGGTAGGGATGCACGCCTGATAACGGGCGGGGTGTGTACCCCAGTGTTGAAGCACCGTGGCAGAATATCGCCAAGATAAGAAACAATGTATAAGGTAGATCAAAGATGGGAAGTTGATAACGGGTACTCCTAGTCGTACGTGCCTTCATAATTAGATGCTCCGGGGGTTGGCTTATTGTTGTCCAATAGGGACTGGGCTGAAGTTAAGTATTTGGGTATTATTTATACTAAGACAATAGCCAGTAGAAGTCGAGTCGAGTCTGGGATCGAGTAGCTAGAGAGAGTTGGGAGTCTGACGTGGAGACGGACAGAGTCCCGTATGGGACCTGCTCAGCGATGGAGCGGGCCCTGGCCAAGTTGGCCCATGGACATTTGTAGGGAACTCTATATGGCAGATGTTTAGTTTTTTTCTGCCTTACACAGGTGGTTAATTGTGGTGCCACGACGAACTGATGTATGTTGATTAGGAACTATTTTTTTGTAATGGATATTAACGCGAAGTACTAACTATGGAAAACCACTATACGATGAAATAAACGTTTCGGTCAACCCAAGTAAACACCGTGTTTAGTCATTGTGTTACACTGTGCACTACTCACATCCGTTTTTGCAATACCACATTACGCTGAGACACAACCACATTGGCTTCCAGGACAGAATATTGTCATAGCCTGCAGGATCGCGTGATCTTTCATCCATCTGTACCTTATGGGATGAGATAAAACGTAAAATGAAACTGTTTCTCCGTCCGTTTATGTTGTGTTTGTTATAAAACATCTTTGCTTGGTCATTTTTGCATTACTGATCCGCATCTAATTGTCTGAAACCAGTGTGTATACTTATTTTGCCAGCTGATTAGGCAGTGAGTTTAATGTACAAGAAGACAATGGATTGTATAGGTCACAACAGCGGGGCTTTGGTTGGATTGGGCGCAGTCACGGCTGCAGCAGCCGCTACCTATTACCTGGCAACCAGAGCAGATCCAGTAATCCCCCCTGTCGACCTGCAGAACCAGTCTGTCATACTAAAGGTGAGTACCGTGTGGCCTGATTCAAATATAAAATTATATATGAATTCGCCTTTGTAGGATACCTGATTTAAGACACAGGAAAGTAAAGCAGTTTCCAGGTATTCGCCGGCCAGTCGAACAATGCTTTTGTTAAGAATTATGGTTGTTTTTCTCCTTATCATAGGATGGTTCAAGATGTTCTCACTTCATGAAGGATGAAAAGCTTATGGAAGTGTTATATGAAGATGTCAAAACTACATATGACTGTTTCCAAAGGGGACTCCGGGTGTCAAGTAAGTTGTAGCGAGACATATTTTTTTCTTTAATCTTTGATGATATCTGAGTTTAGATTTCATTGTTTTTGAGTAGAGTATGCTATCAATGCTTCATCACCGCGGGTTTTGTTTGAACAGACAATGGACCATGTTTGGGAGCAAGGACCGGTCGAGCGGGGGAGTACGAATGGCTTTCATACCAGCAGGTAAACAAATTATCTTTATCTACACAAAGTGTTTTTTCTTCTAAATGAGTATGATCTGCGTGCTGAAAACATTACATAGTCAAATAAACTGTCTTCGTTTCAAGATATCATTACAAAGTTACTTGCTATGGGTGGAAATATCTAAACTCCGTAAGGGGGTCTCGTTTATTTATTGTGAAAACTGAATCTTCAGTTCCCTACAATTTGAGCTAATCAAGGAAATTCTTCGATCGTTACAAAGGTACCTAACTTTTAAATGCTCTCTTGGATTTGTTTTAGTAGTTTTAAAATTTTGATTTGTCTTTTGGGATAAATTTCGTTAACATCAACATCATAAAATATTTATATATCGATAGGTGTATGACCGAGCGAATGCATTTGGTTCGGGACTGCTGGAAATCGGACTACAGGCTAGCAACGAGGAATTCATTGGTTTTTATAGCATGAACATGATAGAGGTTTGTTTCGCATAAATCATTAATTTTATTGTTTTTCAATTTGTTTAAAGTCAATATAAAACGTTATGCTCGTTTGTAATCAATAACGTTTTTGATTTTGCATTTTATAAGTAGGTTATTGATTTTTGGAATCTCTCTGATGAAACAATTTAAGATTCCGACAGTAAATGTCTTCTTATGTTTTCAGTATGTGATAGCTGAGCAGGCAGGGATAATGTTCTCCATGGTTTCAGTACCACTATACGATACCCTGGGCACGACAGCCTGCAGCTTTATCATCAACCAAAGTACGTCCAACTAGCATGATTGTATTGAAACAAAACATATTACCAAATATCATCATTACTATGACAATACACATACTTAAATTTGTTGACCTGCTTCAGAATATATTGCATTACAAGAGATATTAACATATCGTATACTAAATGGTGGTGTAATAGTATCATTTTAAAGAATAAAATCAAAAGCTATTTATTCCTTGTGGCAAAACATTTTGCTACAACAATGTCAAAAACCGAACAGTTTGGTTTACAGATTCATACATTGACAATGTGTTGTTGCAACAAAGTTTAGGTTTGACTTTTGTGGTACTTCAGTAAACATAAATAGTGTATGACTTCCATCTCTACAGTTGGCATTACCCATGTGATATGTGACAAGGCAGAAAAGGCAAAGACCCTCATGTCGAACATAGATAAGACGCAAACTCTGAAGTGTATCGTCCTTATAGAAAAGGTGACGGCGGAATTGGAGGTGCTGGCAAAAGAAGCTCATGTCGAGATTAAGGAGTTTAGCGCTGTAGAAGTAAGAATGCATATTTATGATACTTAGAAGGGATATTCTTGTTTATTGTATTAGTAAACATGAGAGAGAGAGAGAGAGAGAGAGAGAGAGGAGAGAGGGGGAGAGAGAGAGAGAGAGAGAGAGAGAGAGAGAGAGAGAGAGAGAGAGAGAGAGAGAGAGAGAGAGAGATTGACGTTATAAGCTGGAATACGTAATAATTTTATGGTTTGAAATTAATCGATGTATATCATATACCAACAAATGTCAAAGCAGAGAACACGGCATACTCCTTTCTATTTCTTAAATATTGCTATTTTCCTGATCAACAGACACTTGGACAGACGAACCTAAAGAAACCTAAGGTACGAACTACTGTTACTACTACTAAAAGGTATTTGATCGCACTTTCATCGTCAATCAACTAATAGAATATCATTTCAAAGTCTGGACATTCTTTTTTGCTTTGCTGAAATCACTACTCAGAAGAATGACATCGACGCCTTTCCTAACATTGCTGTCATGTATATTTAAAAGAAGTGTTATATGAAAATATTTCACACAAGTAGAAAATAAAAGGAAAAATTACAAATACTTAAAATATTGAAAAAGAAAAAGAACAAACTCATTACTGCTTCCATTGATATCTCTAAAGAATCATGTTGATCCAAAACACTATACAAAAATGAAGAGTCTGAATTTGGTGATTAACTTGATAATGTCATTAGATGCTACTTTATATAAGATGTATAACAAATTATCAACTCTGTGTTGCTCAGCCTCCTACTCCTACAGACTTGGCAACTATTTGTTACACAAGTGGGACAACAGGTAATGCTTTTCAATATTTCGTCTAGAATAACTTTGAAATTGTTTAAACGTAACTGATTTGAGTATTACCGTTCTTTATCAATGTCTACTTGAAGTGATTTTATAACTACATTAAACTGATGTAATTTTTAAAATGTCGGTTTGCAAGTTGCACAAATAGATGTATATCAAATTGCACATGGTATAGTCCTTACATGACAGTGAAATGAAAGTTCTCAAGGAGTTAATAAAATCAAAAGCACGTTTTTGGCCTTCGGTCCTGTTCAAGTATTTTCATGTATTTACGAATGTATCAGACAAAGCGAAGCTAATTGCAATCTTACATTGATTATGTATTATACAGGTGATCCAAAAGGTGTAATGCTTTCTCACCAGAATCTGATCAGCAACATGTCAGCAGTAGCATTAATAGCACTGGTAAATCATCACTATTCAATATTCCATTGCAATATAACTCTAGCAAGGCACTAGAAATAGAAGTATGGTTAAGTATATTAAAAATATTATCAAAACTAGATAACATTAATGCAAAATATGAACAAATGAAAGATTATACAGAGACACATGAAAAAAGTGCAAGAATAAGACCAGATGTTCCGGAAAAGGAAGCGTTTTCTGTTTCATCGACGATTCCCGCCATGTAAACCTTGGTCAATCCAAGTAAATAATGTCATGTTCTCAAATGAGAAAGATATACAACAACGGAACTAACGAGCAAGCTTAGGAGCATCAAACACGTCCAGCTTCATATCGCGCCAAGAAGTAGAATATTTCTCAAGATTGCTCTGACGACCGTAAACTTCCCAATACTTTTCATCAGCTTACATCTTTTAAAACTATGTATTGTCGTCATTTATATTGAAATACAGTACTCAGAAACGAGTGTGTATCTGACAAGGATTTTCTTAAACTTTAAGTTTATCAAATGAAGACGAATTATTTTATATTTATTTAAAACTTCTATTAACGTATATCTCAATTTACATTGATGAGTGTTAAGAAAAACTTGATTTTTAACTTAGATTCTGTTCTTATAGAAAACATACATAATTCTAATATGGATATTTAATGACACATCTTGTCATCGTTGTCATCGCCTGACTTAAGATTGGTTAGGCAAAGTATAAGGTGAATGTAGATTTATTCTTACACAATTATCTGATTTAATCATAGATACTAGCCGAAGCAAGGAAAATATCTTGGGCAAAACATTACAATTTTATTTTGTATGTTTCAGAAAGGTGTCACTGTGACTCCACAGGATGTACATCTATCTTATCTACCAATGGCACATGTGTTTGAGAGGGGCATGCAGGTAATGTTTCAATTGGTTGGTTTATACACGCGTATTGGTCAATAGCTTACACAAGGAAAAAATGATACCGACAGAAAAATAATCGAAAAACAGTCAAATCCAAAAGAAAATTTGAGTCAAATATATCTACAACAAAAGCCAAACGGTAAAAAGAAAGTTACACTGGTTGATATGTAAACAACATTTGTGTTAGTCAACATGGATTTTAGATGTTTCAGTAGAAAAAATTTGAGTACTGTTTTAAATGGTGCACCGTTAGAATAGATTTATACAAATTCATAATGAGGTTTTTTTTTTACAGATGTATTACTATCTACCTTATTATTTGTTATTTCATATACGTTAGATTGTAGCATTCATGCACGGAGCCCAAGTTGGGTTTTCCAGGGGTGACGTAAAGTTGCTTACTGAGGACCTTCAAGCACTTAGACCAACTATATTCATAACTGTGCCACGGCTTCTCAATCGCATGTACGACAAGGTGAGAAAATACAAAATACGTGTGATATTTCAAATAACAAAGTCTAAAATTGATATACATGTAGTGACATTGACTAAATATTATTTAAAATGATAATGAAGAATACTAACGTATCCGAAATATAGGTTGGGATGTTTTTAAAATGTCTGTGCAAGTTTCTAGTCGATTTTTAAGAGGAGCTAGCTATTGAAGTGAGTACGTTATAGTCATACATCGCGGCAGAATGCGGTTTCCACAGCTGCCGTTGTATGAAATCACTGAACCTGTATTTGAAACAATTTTGTGTAAACGAATATAACGGATTGTCTTACTGTTTAGCAGGTCAAATATCTCAGGATCTGAAAAGTCCTTAAACCGCTTTATGCTGCATTTTGTCACTTATTTTACTATTATAAAATAGACGCTATTCACTTGCGTGTATTTTATATATATTATATTGGATAAAGAATGCGGTTTTGGTGTTTGATGTTTATTTCATACTGTTGAAAAGGTATTATCATATCCATTTCACATAATTATAAATGAGATAATTTAGAGACCGTTTGGCATATACAGAAAGTTTGTCATTCTCATTAGTAATACCCGGACTGATTTGTGAGTCTTGTATTGAATAAGTTAAGCAGGGAACACTACTATTTCCTGACTATTTAAGGCTGCGTACCCGAAGACTGGTGTCATTTCATCAGTTTATGTCGAAGAGGTAGCACTAAATTAAACAAGGCAAGTGTCTTTTGTAAAATGGACAAAATCGCGGAAAGAGCAGTGATTCGACATTTGCATAAGAAAGGTCTAGCACCTTAATATATCCATACATATATAGTAGTAACACTAGGGAATGATGTTCCTTCATATGCTAAAATGAAAAGGTGGGTGGCGGAATTTAAGCGTGGCAGGCAGAGCTTTGGGGATGACGTCCGTCCTGTAAGGCATGGCACTGTTGTAACCCCATACATGATTAATAATGTTCATGATATTGTTATGGTTGACCGGCGAGTTACAGAAAGATATATATAATATATATATATATATATATATATATAGCCAGTACAGTTGGGATTTCAACGGAAAGAGGACATTCCATTCTTACGAAATATCTTGCCATGGGAAAGCTCTAGCGCAACGGATGTGTTGTTCCATCAGGACAATGCCTCTGTTCACAAGTCTGCCATTGCCATGGCTGCCTTTAACGATTGTGGCTTTGAATTGATTGATCCTCCACCTAATTCGTCTGACTCGCTCTATCAGGCTTTCATCTATTTTGAATATTGAAAAAGGTCATTTCCGGCATACACCTTCGGTCAGATGATGATGTCACGCATGCAGTGAAAGACATTCTGAATGATCAAGATTTCTTTTAAAAGTGACATTGATGCTCTTAAACATAGCTGGCAAAAGTGTATATATACTGAAGGGCATTGCGTTGAAATATAATGCAGTCAAATCCTTAGATATGAAGCCGACAACTCATCAATCAGCCCTTGTTTATCTTGTTCTTTAGTGCATGAGCCCTTGTTTATCTTGTTCTTTAGTGCATGAACTTTTCATGAGAAAGTATTGTAAAGATAAGCTTTGAGATGCTGTTTTGCTATTTCGCACAGCAATCACATCTGTTATTTCTATTCTCAGAAATGTTGTCTGCAACAATTATGTTGTTTTGGTTTGTTGTAGATATTGTCCAGTGTACAGGGAAGCAAACTAAAAACAACATTGCTCAACTTAGCAATGTATTCTAAAACTCGTGAAGTTCAAAGGTATGTTATACTTAAATACCTCGTTAAATTTGTAAGTTAAATTTCAAGCATTATTTTTTCGAAAGATAACTGTTGTCTTAGTTTATAAGAAAATATAAGCGAGAGTAAAAATACCAGTTGGGACATACAATTCATATGCATGTATATATATAGTTTATACTTGGAAATACAGTTGGTACAAAATTAAATAATTTTACGTTTTAGTAAAAAATATGGCGTAAGCAGACTTGAGTCGCAGCGTCATGAAATGAAAACATGTATACTGCTAGTTAAGAGAAAATTAAGACCATATGCATTTTTAGACAATAATAATATACCTACATGCATATTGTTGCTTCTCTTAATGTTACAAAAACAATAAGGAAAATATTGACATGTTATTGGAATCATAATCAACTTTGCTTTGCCTTATTTACGTTGTCATATTTAGTATCTTTCATTTCTTTCTGATTCCATAAAAGTATTTGAAATCTTAATGAAAACAATTTCGAAGCTAGTTGCAGTCTACATTGAAGCGCCTCGAATATTTCTGTTATTTTTGTTTTATTGAATATTGTTCAAAAGTAATAGCATATTTTTTTATGTGAGTACGTGATGATGTTGTTAAGTGATGTCTGAGGGGATCGAAAATCGGTAGATTTTGAAGGGTTTATGAAGAAACATTATGTAAACAGCCATATCCAGTTTAAGTCATTTGAAGTCTCTAAAGCAAATACATTTGTAATGGCGCTTGCTGTATAATTATCTCGGGATCGGGTTTAGGAAACGAATTTTCTATATTTCCAACAATTACAAATATTGTAGAGGCGTGGTAAGGAGGGACAGTATATGGGACCACCTGGTGTTTAAAAAGGTTCAGCAAACGGTAGGAGGCCGAGTGAAGATCATCATCACTGGCTCTGCTCCACTAGGAAGCAAGGTTTTAGATTTTGTCAGAGCATCATTTGGATGCTTGGTAAGCGTTTTGTAGCTTTTTCCCCTTTTTTTGAAAATAATATATGAAGCTGTTCAGTCATTCTGAATTAGGTCGTGACCTAAATTTTACGCTTAGTATAATGAATTTGAATACTGTATTGAGTATACATATATGGTTCAAAGGTGCAATCAGAATGCGGAAACTTGTGTTACAAATGTTTATTTATCACACGCGTTCAAAGGAGTAGAAATAATTCTGTGTTATAGGTGTTAGAAGGCTATGGACAGACGGAGGCAGCAGCTGGAATTACATTCAATGTACCAGGAGAGATTGAATCAGGTGAGTTAATAGCCTGGTTAAATGTCCTCTTTCCGGGAATAATATCGTTAGTAATTATTATAGTAAACGTAACTGCTTTCAAACTTCAGGCCATGTTGGTTGCCCATTGCCCTGTAACTTGGTCAAAGTAGTGGATGTACCGGAGATGGACTATTATGCTACTGATGGAAAAGGAGAGGTAAGTACAAAGTACCAAAATATATGCATATTAGATACATTTATCTATGATACATCAGATTTGAGTAAGAAAAAAACTTTCATTCATATATTGTCTGTGTAATTTGTATGCTTTTACGATTTTGACAAAGAAACAATTTCTTTTCTTTTCAGATTTGTGCGAAAGGACCAAATGTGTTTCTTGGGTACTATAAAAATGAAGAGAAAACTTCGGAAGCTAAAGATGAAAATGGGTGGCTTCATACAGGAGACATTGGCGAATGGTTGCCTGTGAGTCAAAATTGTTATTTAAATGACGTAGTCTTAGAAATATTCGGTAATCGTAGTTGGTCCATGATCAATCAATGATTAAATGTATTTTTCCTATATTTGATTATTTGTGAATCCTTATTTCGTGTTTTCCCTAATTCCAAAACAGTACACATTATGGAGTCATATTCATATTTGCAATGTACAACTAACGTATATTTTTATATTCTTAACAGAACGGAGCTTTACGAATCATCGACAGAAAGAAAAACATATTTAAATTGGCACAGGTACGTTTGATACATTGTTTACTGTTCACAAATGTATATAATTTCAGCCGTACGCTTAGATAAAACAGTACTTTTTCTTGCATATGTGTAGTATAAAAAACATTGAGTAAAAAGATACTTTCAATAAAAATAAGTTTGTATCAAAAGGTGCCATTCACTTCTGACTTTTGTACCATCTTCGAGATTACAGGTGGTAGACATTTCTGGTAGACGTTTAGTCCCAAAGGTTTATCGTAACTTGCACGTGATGTTCTTATTCATTCGAACAGTAGTACGGTTCAGAACAAACACATGTACTTGACGATCTTCTAAATTATCAAATTTATGAAAATTACGAAATTTATTGCATTACGGTCTTGTGTACCTTCTCATAAAGATTTTGATATTCCTATCTATCACTTTGGACTTTCCTCAAGCGCTTCCTATGCTTCAAAATTTAGGCCCTTATCATCACGGATGGGTGATGTTCGGCTCTACTGTATCTAACACTAAAGGATATCTTTCAAAAACAATGGCAATAAATAAAAGTGGTGGTATTTGTAGCACCCTGAGTGACTACCCATGAAATAGGATTAAAAATATGTACTTGTTTTTTTCTTGTGTTTAATCACATTTGTATATATGTAATATATTTGAAATTAATTTCATTCAGGGCGAATATGTGGCGGCAGAGAAGATCGAAAATGTGTATATGAGGAGCGAATACGTCGCACAAGCCTTTGTTGAAGGAGATAGTTTAAAAGTTAGTTCATTTAAACGTTATGCCATATTCACATATTGTCTGTTTTACATGATATATGTTATATTGTCACAAAACTTTAACCAAGTAAATTGTAATCATAAAATAAAGCGAAGACAGTATGAATACGGTTGTAACGTGTAAGGTGGGAAGCATTTGACTCTTGTTGGCTAGAAATCTTAGAACAAGAAAGATGCATGAAATCAGTCTAAAATCATAATGCATAACGTTTAAGACGGGATCGTAGTGACATTTGAAACGTAGATCGAAAACGCGTGAGTGAGTATTCAGTCGCTGTCAAAAAAATTGTCACGATGGACGGAATTCCTGAAATAACGCTACAAGTGGTGCAAATAAAAAGAAATATCTCCTCGCTTTCGCAAAGTAGTCCGCAAGCAGTCAAATATTTAATAAATGTCTGGTCAGTTTCAAAAGATGCGCGGACAGCAACATAATTTTTGAAGACTCATTACTAAAATACTCAGTTTTGAAATTTAGTCAACACCCGAGGTTAGTTATTACGATACATGCTTTCTTGGTTGAAATTAGGCTGAAAATGAAAAGATCATTTATGGAATGGTTTTGCTATTTCCCAAGCTATGTTGACAAATCTGTCACAATAAATCGGCAAACTGATAAGCGTGTTGAATGCTGCTTTGTCAATTAAAATTCAAAAGATTTCTGTCGTGATTATTTTCTGATATATGGTAGCTCATGACAATGTGAATGAAAGTAATATAAAAGTATCACGTTGCTTTCAAAGTTCGAAATGTGGATGTCTGTTCCTTGCAGCTGGTGTCTGAGCAAAACATTAAGCGTGTTAAAATATTACCATAAATGAAATCGTCAGATGACAAGAGTAAACACATATAGCTTTCAACAGTATTCTGAATTGAGTCCTAGAAGAAAGATTTTTTTATTAAGTAGTGTTATTCATTTGTGTGTCTTTTCAACAATATTCATTTCTTTTGTTATTGCACTTTTCTTAATATTTTTTCAACTGATAAAATTTAATTACAACGCAATAATACATAGGACAATTTTTATTCTTCCGAGGACACGACACGCGCTGTAGACATATATGTCTGTTAAAGGAAACTGAACTAAAATGGAATACTAAACTGTTTCTTACGATACATCTTTTATAGCCATACTTGATGGGTGTAATGGTGCCAGACATAGAAGTTGTTCCAGCATGGGCTGCAAAAGAAGGCCTACCTACAAGCATGGATGAACTTTGTACTTGTCAGGTTGGTATATCTAAAATGAAGATATCAATCCTTTTCATGGTGGCTGATTAGAATGACAAAGTGAATAAATGCGCAGTTTAAAATACCTTCAATTCAGGAAAAGACTATTATATATTTCTTTGCTTAAGATTGGAACAAATTTCGTACATATAACTATCTTTTGAATAACATTATCAAATTTCCGTTCTAAGCAGAGGTATTTTAAAGAATCTGATGTGATAATTCGAATTTGATGTATAACTCATAAGATTTACAAAAACAATGTAAAGTGCATAAATCAGCATATTATGAAAGTGATTAACATACCCATGGAGTTAGCTAAGATTTCCATCTCATCAAATAATAGAATTCCTGTAAGAAAATAAAGCTGGATGTCGCTTTTAAAATCTGTTACAGAAACTTAAAGACGTGATACTACAGGATATCATCAATATCGGTAAAACCATGGGACTTAAATCGTTTGAGCAGGTAATTGTGTTATAAGGATTAGCATTAGTTTCCGACATTGTGTCGTCTATTAACATTTCATTATCAAGCCTTTCGAAACGAAACACATTCTATCGGTTGACCATCTCCATGCCGCTACGTATGAAATGTAATGATCACATTTGTTCTCTCTTAGTTGGCATCTTCCATGTTCTTTCCTTGGAAATTCGTCTTGACTGTTTCCAATCATTTATGCCATACCAGATGTTGATAAGCCTGGATGAATATCAGAACGCCATTTTAATAAGAGTTTATGCCAACATTATCTAATTTTCTCTGCAGGTGAAAGACATCATTCTTCACCCAGAACCGTTTTCAATGGACAACAACTTACTCACGCCGACCTTCAAGAACAAGAGACCAAACTTGCGAAAATTCTTCAAGTCCCAAATCTCGAAGCTTTATGAAAAACATGAAGCAACGCCATAAATATATTCCAATATGCTACTATTATCAGTAAATGTGCTAGATAATTTGTGAATAGTGTAAAACGTACACATATATGAATTCTGTGGCAGCCAACTTGGACCAAACATAATAGTATTTTTCCATCTTGAATTTAGACTTTTAATGGAAATGCTTTCCTTGTCAGTGTTGATTACATAGGTAAGACGTTAGTAGTGAGATCATGGGGTCCCTACTATGGACAACATGATTCAATTATTTATTCACACTGTTTTTAATGTACCTTTTTAAAATGTGATTCAAGCAGCGATTGTCGTTTTATTTAATTATCCTTATGCGTTGCAGCGACTACTGGACAATGCCCCGAACTATTGTCTCTTGTGAAGTGAGTTATATATTACTAGTGACAAGAGTCCGACTAGACAGTGTTGGTGGCATGGTGAAATGTCCTCTCAATGTACATTGTATCTTAATGATTATCAGTTGTTATTTCATTTCGTACGTTTGCCTGTCATCATTTGTCATTTATTTTAGATCGACCAATGCGAAATAGGTGGTCCAGATTTAGCAAAGCGTCACACTTCTATTGAGATATAGAAGAGAATGTATGTTAACCTCGTGATTAAATGAACTAGTAAATTATGCACAGGTTATGTAAGAGTACAACATACGTGTGTATTTTATCATATCATAGCACACAGCTATAGTAAACCTCTGTTAAGCAAACATTATCCAAAAATGATACACAGTAAGCTCATAAAATGAATTTCTTTTCATCATCAATATAAGACATTAACTTTGATGTAAAATGTAAAACTATATCATCTTTGTTACTAGTGTTTTACATAAAATAAATTAATTTGATGGAATATACATACATTCATAAAACAGAAGAAATGGCCGCTTAGATTTTCATAAGATTTCATATCCTCGCCGCATGATGAATTATTTTTGATATAATAAAACTATATCATCTTTGCCATCAGTGCTTTACATCAAAACACTGTCTCCACTAGGTCACAAGAGTACTTCAAGGATCTAGCGAAAACATTTTACCAATACTTCCATGCAGGAAAAAAGATTGCAAACTCGTATCGTAATTCTATAATGAAAAGTTAAATTTATCCGTCATTTGTTGGCAATCGCCATAACTGAGCTGAGTGCATTTTGACCGATTGTTCTACATATGTCATATTGTCGATCACTTCCCTTTGCCGCAAATCGTGGATATAGACTATTGTCGCTCAATTCCTGGATAGATTGTGATCTAGTGGAGAAATCCGAGTCGCAGTAACAGATTTTTTTAACGGAAAGTTATCTACTTATATGAGATTTTCAGTGCTCGACTTTGTCACACATTATACATTAATAGTGTTTTCCCGAGTAGCATTTGAAAGAGTCAGTCTTTTTCTCGCTCTTACTGGATGCCTTTTAAAACCCGTGGTCCTGGAATCACTGTCTTTTTATTAAAGAATCGGAAAACGCTAAAATCGAAATGAATTTTAATAACAATTTGTCTATATTTCGTTTATTTTGATAAACATGTGCCCTGACAAAGGTCTTTATAATGTTAAGTATCAAAGTGACTGTCCTTTTTATCATTTTCCTTTTTAGTGAGCACCAGGTCAATTGTCAATTGCAAAATGAATATATGTAGGTATGAATATATTTGAAGTGAAGCACCAGTACATCAATGTAACGACATACTCTTCGTATTATTATCATGTGACAAACACGATTATTATCGATTGTTAGGAAACCAAGATCATGAAGAAAGAATGCCTTTAAAACAAATTTTAATATCAACATGATTGTAAAATAAAAGGACAAAATAAAATTATTGATGGTGGAAGAGCCCCGAGTGTCTTTGTGTAGAGCATTAATTGAATGTCCATGTTCATTCTTTTGCGTCACCAATGCCACCAGCTGTTATGGCATACGTTGCTTCATTTTCAGGTAAATCAGGGCTGTATAAGTAAGAGTAGGAGGAAGCAATTAACATTTTTGAGTTCGTAATAAACATTAAAATTAACAAGGACACTGATTTCTTGTATAATATTTAAAACTGGATATACTTGACTACCAAACAACCAAATTTGTAACACTTATTTATTTATCTATTTTATAGTTTCCATAAAGAGAATTCACGATAAATACCTATCATATATCTTAGCAATTCTGTTTTCCCCTCTGCCTTTCCGTAGGCTAAGTCTTGTTGTAGAGGCATGAGCCAATATGTTCCCTCCAATAGGCTTTTTCGGGTCAACTTGAAAACTGTGAAAATAAAAAAAAATAAATAAAAGCTGAAACGGAATCAACTTAAGTGCAGGTGGCAGTGTAGGAGTAATCGTACAAATAATCTAACTTTATGTTGAAACTGAAAACAAAATTTTTTACACTTTCTAGTGGTGATAAATGTTTTATATGAGTATTATTAATTTCATAATGACATCGATGCTTACACAAACTTGAAAAAGCATACGTACGACATCGTTGCTCCTGGATCAGCTGTCATCTGATTTGTTACAAATACTGCTACATTGTATTCTGAAATAATATAACTCATTTTGAAGAATTTTCAAGAATTTATTCACATTTCTTATTCAGAAAATTATAATCTAGCATGCATGAGATTAAAATGTCAGTCATCGGTTACCACTGGTTACTCAAAAGGCAAGAGGACATCATGTCATGACAGACGTTCATCTCGTTTTTTTGCGTGACAGTTTCTGTAAAAACCCATGAAATTGTCGACTGTTGTTAATATCAGTCCTATCAGACCGATTTCCATTACTTCGGTGTGAATTTCAGTCCTATCAGACCAACTAGCATTACTTCAATGAATAAATCACGAAACACCCATATTCAAACTCCTTGAATAGCAACAAACAAGAAACAATATTCAATTATTAAGGGAAAATCGTTCAAAATCAATCATAGTCAATAGAGACAACTCGTGCAATAATTATGCTGTACCTTCAGATATTTTCTGCAATCTTGACAGCATTTGAGCTAGTCTTTGTTGCCTATCAGCAAGTTCACCTCTGCCACTGAAGTCCACTCTAAAGAGAGCCATTATTGAGTCAATGATCTAGAATCAAACGAACAAACATCTAACTATCAAGCAGTTACATTGTCTTTAAAACGCAGCCTTTGAAATATCTAGATTTGTTCATTGACTCTACTTGGTAGAAACGTCATTTAACACGTATTTTGCATTATGCTTTAGACTTTCTTTCTCAAGAAGTGCATTTTCATTTCTTCTTTTGTGCATATAAAATCGTTTCCAGCAATTAAAAATCAAACTACATACAATATAATTTTAGTATTAATTTCTTTTTTATGAATAGTTTTAAGTCGTTCTTAAATGCCTCAAATATGTTTGTTTGTGGAATTTTTCCTTTGGATATAATTTCATTTAATCATTTACAAATTGTTCATATCACAAGATATTCTTGATGGATCTTGGTGTTCACCATCGCAATATCTTTATAATTGCTATGTACGTTTGATTTTTTTTTTTTTTTTTTTTGATTTTGCAAACTAACATCTGGATTAAGATGAAAATGAAATGTGCAACTGAAAACTAAGTAAAAGAAGCTAAGATAGGGACTTGCATGTATCCTCAAATAATTCATGTTTCAAAGCGATACATATGTATCCGATGAATAGTCTCATGGTCTTCTTCTTGTTGTGAACTATAGAAACAAACTCATGATTTTATACATCTCATATTGAAATCTCTCCAATACTCTGCAAATAAATAGAATAATCTTTGAACCATGAATAATCAGATTCAATACAAAATCGGTGTACAAATGATTACCAAAAGTTTGAAGACGCCAGGTTCCTCATAAAATTTTGCAGCCACGAAGTCAAGTAGTTCAAATTGGTGTTCACCTTAAAATATAAAATATAGATTTGATGCTTAAATAAGAACATTGAATTTACTGTAATCTTAGTTCGTTTATTTATCGATTCATTTATTTATTTTCATAATTTATTCTAATATACATATCATTTGTTTAACAAAATATGAAATTAAATGTGATTTAAAGAGACGTTTCATCAAACGTTGTCAGTCCACATACACATCACTCAGATTTCCACTTACTTGTATATGCTCTTGCATAGAGAACATTATCTAAAACCGCGTTTTGATCCAAATTGAATCGATCAGCAATTGCTCGCAGTCTGTCTGGACGACTTTATAAAATCAAGGATCTATTTACACTCATCTTTTTATAAGATTATGAAACCTTTTACGACATATAATAAAAACAAAACAACTAAGTAATAAAAGTAACGGAAAGCATCTATTGTCTTTGTAATCCAAATGAATGACTTCATATACGGTGTACTCTTGATATTATCAAAAACTGTTGTGTTTTTCAAAAAACGTTTTGGAGTAACACATTCTTGAAGGATACAACGTATTTTCAGTATCAATAAACATCACTTTCCCTCCGGTGTAACCGTTGGCTCCTGGAAGCTGAGTTGTCACTGAAAATACAAAGAACATACAAAACAACATGTAAATTGTACTGATTGAGAATAATGATAATCCGGGTATTTTAAAGGCAAACTGTTCAAACTTCGATATATGATTGCATACAAGTTACACCTTTATCAACATCAATTCAGCCTTTATCTTTCATAAGATCAAGTGTTGAAAATATCACCTTTATGTTGAAATACGTCGATATTGTTAATCATAACTTATTCCTATGGTAACAGTCTAGTATTACTGTATTTAAACTTACCACATAATGTATGCGAAAGCTGTGTTTTTCCTGTGCGAAATTCCCCAAAAGCTTCTGTAATGGCCATACTTTCAAGTCCACCACCAATAAGTTTGCTGTGATTAATAGTAATAAATAAAATTTTGAAAACGTTTATCATTTAATTGCATCTGAATGCCCGCTCCCTCTCTAAAAAATCCCATTCTTTTCATCTGCAAATCCGTCTACTTCCCAGCCACTACTCAAAACCGTAAAATGCAAAGCAAATCCTGTGACATTTGAACTCTTTATTTCTCTTCAATTAAATTAAAATAAGACCCATCAACACGTCACCAACACTGAAGTATTATATATTACATAAAAAGTAAAAGGATAATCTTTACTCAGCATCTTTAAAGTCTACAAAAGAAAATACCAAGTATAAATATTATGCAGTCAATTCCGAAATCGAAACAATCAATAAAACGCCGGCATATGGACAGAATAATAATTCGAACTAAGGTTCGATGAAACGAGGGCAAAATATGAATAAAAGAAAGATTTTACATTGAAACCCATGAAAGAGTACAAGAGAATAAAACCAGTTTAGGGTTCAAACATCTAGAAAATACCAACATGGCAACATAATCATAATCCAAACTCAAATTCCATAAAACTAGGGCAAAATATGAACAAAAGAAAGATACTCTTGAAAATGAACAAGGAGAATAAACCCATTTGTTCCGGAAGAGTAAGCGTCTTGTGTTTCATCGACGACACCCGCCATGTAAACCTTGGTCAATTCAAGTAAGTAATGCCACGTTGTCAAATGAGTACTAGGAATACAACAATGGAACCAACAGGCAAACTAACGAACATCAAATACGTTCAGCTTCATGTCGCACAAAGAAATAGAATAATTCTCAATGAGATCACTATGGCGACAATAAAACTTCCCCATAATTTTCATCAACCTGCATCTTTTTAACCCTTGTGTTACAAATTTGTCAGTCAGTTGACTACTTCTTGCACGAAAATCGTGATAATGGGAACAGGCCCTTGAATATCGAATCAACTGTGACATGTAAATACCATAGGTTCAATACTCATGATGAATAGTCTACTTGCACGATTGTAATATTGAAGCATAAGCTGGATTTTTAAAAAATTCTTTGGATGATGATTACCTTTGTGTACCGAATGGTTTCTGTAAAGCCTCTTATGACTTTCAAACAACTCCTACATATGCGAAAAAATGCTCAAAGAAATATAGACCGTAATAGGTTTTATTATCGGAGTGAAGTTTTGAAATAATTCCTGCGACGAACACCCGTTGCTCATATGTATTAAACATTTTCATTCATTTCATATATTTTATACATCTTTATCAACACGTCTACCGACATGTGGATAATATATACAATGTTAATACATTATGTTATATAATTAACAATTAAAAATTAACTGATACATTTATCAGAGATAAACAGAAATAATGATGTATATTTACTCGAATTCTTGACTGCCTGTTGAAATTCTAAAGACCTGTTTCCTTTTATCGGAATACTCCAATGCAGTTAGAAATCCATCAGCCTGGAACAGATGTAGATAAACATTGTAGTTCAATGTGTGTTATGATCGTAAACCATAAAGAAAATGTCATTCACATGTGTACTCCGATTGGACATCTTCGAAACGAGATGTAGAATTCTAGAGAACGGTTTTACGTTTCTTAGACAGACTCAACGTTTTTTCAGTGACATTCAGACCAGGAAATAAATTGCAATCCAAAACAAGAACACTAGACATCATTTAGTGGAAAGTCAGATTTATGTGGATGAAAAAAAAAAAAAACGATTTCGTTATCAGCGCGACAACAGTAGTATTTTCCATGTGATTCGTCACCTAGTACATCATTAACAGGAAATTTGATATGAAAGTCCAGTCCTTGCGATTCATGAACAACAAGGTCTATGGAGATAAATTACAAACATAATTTGTAAATAAATTAGACAAATATTAATATTTGAATGAGAGTTGGTTGCCTTGATACACGAAATATGTTATCTAATTATTGATAACGGCGACATTAATTGTGGTTAGATGTACCACAGTGAGAAGGAATAGTTCTCACGTAATGCAGCACTTGCTTACTAAACGATATTTTCCCAATTTTACTATACTCGTATATATTTATACACATTTCTCCTGTTCAAATTTGCAATTTGAAAGATAGCTTGGTTACAAACACTGAGCTTTCCAGATGCCTCTTTGATCTTCTCCATCTTCGCTTCTGATATTCCTTTGATATTACAAAGTTTCTTCTTTGTTGTCATTTGAATTCCCTGCAACATCATTTGAACAAAGCCTTCACAAATACAACAGGTTTATAAAGAATATGGAGCCATTTTCTTATTAATTATAGCAAGAATTTACCAACATAAGAAGAGAATAACCCAAACACAGATTCAATCAAATTAGTACAATATATGAAAAAAATATATGTTTACATGCTACATGGAGATTTGTGAAAAGTACATGGAGAATAAGACCAGGTGTACTGGAAGAGTTAGCGTCTGTTGCTTCATCGAAGGCACCCGTCACATAAATCTTGACCAATACAAGTAAGTAATGTACCCAAATGAGAACCGGATATACAACAACAGACCCAGCAAACAAGCTAACATGTCCGAAACAGATCCAAGTTCATATCCTACATAGAAAGGTCGTCATAGTGATCAATGAGACCAGTATGACGACCGCAACACCTCATAATTTGCATCTCTCGAAACTCGGTTTTGTTAGTTTGTCTGTCAGTTGTCAAAATCTTGCATGGAACTCGTGATATTGAGAATATGCTCTCGAATACCAAATCCGAAATGCAACATGTAGCATCATATGTTGGTGATGTAGCGATATTGTTTCCAGAAATGGAAAATTCAAAATATCCAAATCGAAATCATCAAATTTATCACACAGCTTGGTTAAATCTGCCTATGTTGATTTCGTTGTAGGAAAAGATCGAGATAAGCGGATGATATGGAGTCTTTCGTGTTCTTGATTTCCCAGTCTGGAACGTTGTTAAATAAATGCATAAACGACTTGCATGTATATTTTCTCCATTTCACAGTGAAAAGTTATCAATGTTACATCTTTGTTTTATTTCAATGGAAAGTGTTTTTTAAAATGCCATTGAAACACTTACCTTGATAGTACATATTCCTGCTTGCTTTAACTTTTTAATGTCTGCAACATTCTGCAATATTTTAAAACATCTGTATCATGGTGCAAGTTGTACAAGTCAAAACCAGAGCCTCATAATTCTGTAGTAAATCGCTAATGAAACTAATATTGATCATATAAAATAATAAACCTTGAACAGTTTTAATTTCCTTTGCCATATCCCTTATGACAGTCTAAGTTTCAGAAAAGAAAAAAATATCAAACAATAATAAATTCAAACGTGTTATTTCCCTTTACTTATACTACATTTATTCCCTCCTCTTGACTTTACGTTTTTTACACACAAAGCTAAAGTTTTCCTTCGAGAAAAGTTTTTCATTAAAGCGTATCTGCCCCTGCAAATGAAAATCGCTACAAATTCTGATGTAGTAATCACAATATGGTTACACTATGTGTCCCCTTTGATTATGGAAACAGTAGGACTTGAACATATCAGTTGATTTATCCCATGATCATTCTTTTTTTGGCTTTGAGTAAAAAGTATGGGAATATCTATGAAGCGTATGGAAATTCTAAAGTGGCCTAAACATCTAACAGGAAAACTGGATTTCAACGTACATGTATGTGGATAGAAAGCAAGAAAAACTATGTAAATGGTAACTAATACGACTAACAAAATTGGTTACAACATTAAAGCTTTGTGTCTAAAGACTTGAATTGTTATCATGAAAAAAGAATGGAAACTTACAATCCCGTGATTTTGAAGCATATCAATGTCTTGAAAAAGGGATTCCTGAAAAAGATTAAATAAAAGCAAATTTTAAAAATAACATTTTGAAGAAAGTTCATGAAATAAATTCATGAGAATTATAAATTGTTGGCGTTTGCGCCCATTGTATGCCGTGATGAAACATGATAATCATTCGTGTCATATTTTATCAATTATAAAATTATAAAGAATTCATAGACACTACCCTCTCCTCCATTATTCTTGGCGATGCAAAAGTTTCCTTCGTGTTTAAAGGACGGTACGGTAACGGTATTGACAGAAAAGTTATGCATAAATTATTTCATTTGTCTGGAACAAATGACACAAAAGAAATAATGTGGCAAAGTCTTCTGTATCCAAATTTATACAAACATGAATTATTTTACTATTAGCTATCTCGCACAATCTCTTATGAATGTATATCTGTATTTGCAAAACACATGATTAATTTGTTAATAAAAACTGAATATAGACTAACATGTAGTTCGATACATGTCACAAGATTTCATCCTTGAAGTAGTAAAATAGGTTAATCTGATTTGCTTGTCCGACACAAATATACTTGAACGCACTTCCTTTCAATATGCTGGCTAAAATTCATGGCCTGTAAAAAGATATCGTGATTATTCATTTTTACAGGTGTAGAATCTTGCCCTTCAGGTAGGCGTGGGTTTATGATAATTTATGTTATCGGTAATCCCCATCCAGCCTCCAGGAACTAGCTATCAGACACGGTATAATCAGTGACCATTGTAGGAGCGTGGGTTGTCGATGACAAATTATGTAACGGAGCAATATCGATGGTGTTGTATAAAGTATGTACTCCAAACTGCGTATTTTTCATTCTAAATAGCATAAAATCAGTACCGTGTTATACTCTTACCAAACTTTTATCCGAAATAAATCCATGGCAAAAAAGAAGCCTTAAAACAATAGGTGGACCGGATATACTTTTTGTTTAAATTTTCACTTTTGTCAGCAACGAAAAACAACAAACTTTACATTTATTAATGTTCACAGCTGTACGTTTATCATATTGCAAATATTTTACAAGACTTAATTCATTCAGTAATTGTTATTTAGGTCTCTGTTCTTTTTTAACGCTTTTCAATGTAGATCTATTTCATTTGTTTTCTAATTTCTTTCTGTCTTCACTTTTTAGCGGGTTTGAAACTTTAAACGTGATGTGAAGAAAAAACTTAAGTAGGGTGAGGCTACCGGAACATTTTCTTCGGGTCGCATGTAGGTTAACTGTGTGGCATGGTATATCGGACATGGGCAAGAGATTCGGGTTCCGACATAATGAACATCAGAAAGAGTAGGAATTCCATCTAGGCAAAAAACTACTAGATCAGATCGAAAACATCCTCATTCCAAGATCAATAAGAAATCATTCCACGCAGCAACTTAATTCATAGATTTGACTGGAAAAATTCCAAAAAAGTCGACAATGGGTACAGTCTGTTCAGACGGCCGGTCATGGAGACCATATGCCTATGCCGCAGTGGGCCAGTACTAAACAGGGAAGAGGGGGCCACAGACTTTCGCACATCAGTCACCAACGTCAAACAAAGCGTAGCCGAATCGAGTACAGTATATTTTGTATCCTTTTTCTCATATAGTCTGATTGCAATGTCGTCACACTATTTTCAACCTTCGTCTACACAGGATTACACTGCAGCCAAAAAGATAGGTCGATTCCTTGCCATCTCGTTCACTTTGTACACCATTCCTAGCACGCCTCACAAAGGTCATTCGTCTGATGAAGATGATCACGTAGTTGTCGAAATGGCACTCTCAAATTTTCTTATGATAGTGTTATAAAAACTTTTATTTTATATCTGCGGACCCGAATACAAATTAAACCGAATGGGTTTTTTTCTTAAAATGTAAGATTATGTCTAATCTACGTTATAGAACTGATCATGATAAAACCAGGGATGTATGATAAAGGGGGATAAAAAAAACTAGGCACAGTGGTGACTTCACTGTCATTAGCTTGTGTGATCTTCACTGGGCCATGAAGTCATCAAAGCCCCTTTTCCATCATGTTACAAACCTTATCTGCCTATACCCTATCTAGTAGTTAGTGTGGAAATTGCACTGGTCTGCCTGACCAAAGCCATTTAGTCAGCCAGTGAGAAGTGAATATCATTTTAGTCACAAAAAGAATATTGATAAATTAAAATGTTGTATCACAAAACTTACACGTGTCAATAGGAAAATCACGCAGCTTTTTAATGCCATTTATTTCAAGATAGCTTTCTTTATTTTTCTAACTGAAAGTGTTAAACAATATAGGGTGATGTTTCGGATGTACTTAGCCTAAACATACATACTTGTGTTTTATCGAAAGTTAACAGAAATCATTGGTCACAAGATCAATTTGATAATCAAGCTTTCTATAAGTCTACTGTTTATTTTGAAAATATTAGTTATCCTCTTTTGGAGAAAAAAGGGTTTATAAACACAACAATGCTAGTTAATTAGATTTTCTCCGCTATGTAGCGTTACAAAGTCAAGAGATTGATTCCATACAAGCAGATTTTTTTATCCCTTTCTATAAAACAGTTTCCAGAAAGAGCAGCTTCCAAATATTAAATATTAGGTATACCACCGATAAGTTTTATAGTTACTTATTATAAAAATTACAAATATAGAATTTTGCTCACGTCGTCGTCATCATTTTCCAACACTTCTTCAACTACTTGATCTTCTGATTGCATTTTCTCTCTGGTTTGCTTAGCTAATGTCGTCTGCTATATTATGATTCGATACAGATTACATTGTGGCTTTTGTACGAAACGAAATAAAATTACGTATTCGTTTTCTACTCACCTAAAGGCTATTGACTTTACAAAAAGAAATAAGTGAAAATTTTATTTAAGATGTAGTTTTATTTTCACACTTTTTTTTTTTTTACTTTTTTCAGTGAATCACTTTTGCATTTCGTAGTTTTTATTTTGAAATATATAGTTCCCATTGTCACTTCCTGTTCCACACCGAGGCTTTGTTAAGGCGCACGTGTTGAAAACGTTTTATGTTTACAGTCCTCCGTGAAGCGGTAAGCAGAGAGGAACAAACATCTACCCAGTCTTGAATATTTTACGTATTAACTGTATACACCAGCGAAAATGGTAAGCTTTTATATTCTTTTCAATCAAGAAATGGAGAAAGTACACTCAGATATTGGTCAAATTAAGCGCGATGAGCATCGACACTGGTATAACGTTTCCCTTTCATTTGTGGATGCAATCATAATAAGAACAATTTTTTTAAATATCTGTCTATTCTATTTTACTGTTAGTTTAAACATTTGTTAGTTAAAGATAATTAAATAGCAGTTGGACGTGTTATATAGAAACGCGCTTTTCCGTAAACATTTCACAGTGGCATCTTGATTCTTGCAAATCGGAGCGATAGCCAAGACCAGTATCCACAATTTACACCAAATATAGATCATTATGTGAATAAGTTTGTGAAACATTACTCAGTTATTACATGAAATGTTTATACAATAGCATATGTAATATGATAAATAAAATGTAATTTCATCCTCCATTATTTCCTGTATATGGAACCAGAACACCAACAAACAACAGACAAAAGCGCTGTTCAATTCATAATACAGTACTACTCTTAAGTCTCTTTCTTCATTCGAACTGTTTCCTTTCACTCCAATGCATAACCTTTTGACTAACCCATCTTCTTTGATCAAGCCATGTGACAATTCTGTCAAACGATTTAGGGATTGTGCAGTCAAGAGGATTGCCAGACTACCTATCTTTTACCCTGTTAACCTATTTTTTAAAAATACATTGAATGAAAAGTGAAGAAAAGGAAAAAAAATGGTCATATAGTAAATATGTATACATTGAAAATAACTCCATATGTTCCTCTGAAAATGAAAAAGATTATGAAGATTTTTTATGAATCAACACAAGTCTGACATTCTATCAATAAGAAAACATAATTGTTACTAACACCAATGAAAATAATGCATATGCTTATACGAATCTGACCATGACACAGTTTCAGGCACATTACGGTTGCTGCAATAAATCTACTGAAAAGTAAATCTTCATGTCTAAAGCTGTAGTGACAACCCTACCAAAACACATGTCCGATTAAGCCTGATCCTTGTGTAATTTTGAAAGCTATTTCTCCAGAAGTCAATATGGTATGTTGACTAATCAGTAACTCACTTGACAATATTGGTCATGTTCTCAAAATCAATTTTTTTGAAGAATACTCCATAGATGTGTTAATTCATACTTGCCAATGTTAACTCTTTCTATTTAAGAGAATGGGTCTGGATTTTTGGCCTGAATTGATCAGTCCACAAATTAATTATTCCTAAAATACAGTTATATACTTATTCCACCAAGTAGAACAGCTTCGTAACTTCTGTTAAGACATTGATCCACATTATTCCTGCGTAAATTTTGAAAATCCTTGAACTGGTAAAATTGAAAACTTGTACCTCCAGTTTTCCTGCATTGTTTGTATAAAAACTCATTGTTAAGTTGTATGTACTCTATACCCGCAGTCTCAAAACGAATGTTTGAGGGAACACTGTTTAGAGTATGACATCTTAGTGCTACATCTTGTTGATTGGAATGTTAGATTATTCTAAATAAATTGTGCCATTTTATTTCATTTCATGTGATCATACAAAAATCATGTATCAGAAAAATAAATAGTTGGAGATTAAACATCATTCTTATATAGTATTCAGAGTGAACATTAAATGCAGAAAGCCTTGTGTTTGTTTATATTTGTTTGAACTTTCTATTTTCAGACAGAAGAAGTTAACCCTAAAGCCTATCCTCTGGCTGATCAAGTATTAACAACAAAAATCATAGATTTGTTGCAGCAATGTGTAAATTTCAAACAACTGAAAAAAGGAGCCAATGAAGGTGTGTATTGTTCTGTATCTGAGTATTCTTTATTTGGAAACGACAATAAATACGGCAATATGTTGACATTTTGTTACCTGGCCATCGGTAACATCACCTTGATATAGAAATGCTAATATATTAAAATTTTCCATCAGTTTATAACTTATACATGAATTCATGACTGTAAGTTGAGGACACTCCATGGTGTTAGGTAAAATCACTATATAATCATGTACATGTAACCCTGCCAAATACTAGCCACAATATACTGTTCGGCTAGAGAGATCACCAGATTATTGAGTTGGGGTCCCAGATTCAATTCCTAGCGGAGGCATTTAAATAGATAATGACCTCTGTTACATAAATACATTCTTGTGTATTTCATCTTGTGCTTTAATGTGATTTCTCATAATGAATTTGACTTTAAACATTTTTTCAGATTGAGCTATATATAAATACACCGTTGCTGTTTGGAAATTTGAATATTGCCAGTACTTTCACCATTAGATGGCTATATGTAAATTGAACTGATCTGAATTATACAACACAATGAAGTCACAAGACATCTTTTTTCAGCCACAAAAACTCTGAATCGTGGAATTGCTGAATTCATCGTCATGGCAGCAGATACTGAACCATTGGAGATTTTGCTTCATCTCCCACTCTTGTGTGAAGATAAGGTAGGTATACATTGTAAACTGCATAATATTTTTTATTAAGAGTGTATGTTTCTTGCTAGAAATACAAATAAAGCTAAAAGAAAAATGACAGAACCTTACTACTTTTAAAAACTGTTTATAAAAAATGACAATTTGAATTATATATATATGGATAATTCCAGAAGTATTATTCAGGAGTTAGGTATATAGGAAGCACAGAGTTAAAAGACAGAGTAATCTATGAAGTAAGCAAACTTTTAAGAATTTTCCATTCAGCACATCCTTACGCTTCACAGAAATAAGTGAGATGTGTGAAATTAATTAATATGGTCAAATATGGCAATATGGCATGAGCACTTAAACCACTATCTCTGAAAGTCTTCGTGTATAAGGAGAGTGTTGGCATGATTGACATGAATGTAGCTTGACTTTCCTCTTATTTCATAACTTAAATAATATACTCAAGTAGTATCATTATCAAAACCGAAGTCACAAAATGGTGAAGTGTTTATGATTGAACAATGAAATTGGCATAGATATATATCTACAAACTAGACCTATGCATTACCTTTGAGAACATCTTTAACAATCTGTGGATTATATATATCTAATCACTGTCAGTAAATAATCTGTACTTCTCTCTGACTGTAGATTTGGGTAACAAATCTGAAACACAACATAGAGACAATGAAATAACCACATGTGATCAAGTAGAATATAGTTTCACTGCAACACTGTGGTCTGATTGGTCAATAGTTAGTGAAAATATCAAAAGTTGTCACATAAAGTTACAGTGGTATTTTTTTAAGGAGTTACTTCCCCTTACTTATGAAGTTAAATGAATACAGTTACTTCCCCTTTCCTGTAAAGATAAATTGATATTGGGATGATTTCTGTCAGATGTTTTTTTATATATAATATATGTAATGTTAATATGGAATCATTATTGTCGTATAAACTATGAAGTGCCTTGTTGTTACCTAGAAATTGATCTCAAGGGTTTATAATTGATCAAGGGAAGTATATTTACAACTGGTTGATTCTAAGTAAAGAGACATGCCAATGCCTTTGAATAAACCATATTTAGGTAGGTTAGAGTTTAGCAATTCAAGTAACTGGAGGACTCATGAAATTTACTGATGTTAATTCATAGCAATAAACTGTTATTTCAGATCAGTACAGATATATTACTTTATCTTTTTCAGAATGTACCCTATGTATTTGTGAGGTCCAAGGGAGGTAAGAACACTTTTATGTCAATAAACAGAAATGATGTAATGGTTACAGTCTTACATGAGTTTGTATGTGTGTCAAAAAATTGTTTTGAAAAAAAAATGTTTTGAAAGTAAGTATATATTGTTGAGTATATCCATGTAAAAATGCCTCGTTAGAATTACATTTTGAATTAATCCCATGTTTTTTTCCTTTTTTTAAAAGAAAACTCAAACATTTCTTGTGGTTACTAATTAGTTTGTGAGTTATGAATATTTCTACAAAAAATTGTGTACAGAGACCACACCAGTGTGTGAAAAGGATCAAGACTGTAGAAGCACAAAGTTTTTGGAACAGTTTATTAGAAGGAATGTGCACGAGTGGAGTCCATCATAAAACATGAAGATCAGGTTGATTTGAGAGATGAAATGTGAGAGTTTTAATATCCAAGAAAAAAATAATGTGTTGAAATTTAAAAAAAAAAAAAAAAAAACTACTAATGGGGAAATAAGGTAAATACAGACTTAGAGCAATGATACTGAAGAAAAAACTAACACTTAATAGATTTTGAACAAATGCTTTGATTTGTAAGAAAATTAAATTTTGATGAATGAAAGTGATGGCAGACAAAAGTGGAAAATACTATTTCTGAAGAGCAGAAACCTGGTGAATGAACCAATCCAGTGGCAGTTGGAGATACAATAAAATAAAGCTTATTAGAATGTTTTTGAGATCTCCATAATCAAGTATTGGATTGTTGAAATTGTCCCTTGTCCATGGTGTATCTGTCTGTCCTTAAACATTACTTGTTATATTTTATGTATCCTAAACAAGAAATGGTAAAATATTTATAGTATTATACATAAATTTCATAAAGGTAGATAACCTTGATAAATCATTTATTATGTTTTGGGTGTACAAGTTCTCCCACAACAAAGTAAGGGGTATACTGGAATCATTTTATCTGTCTTATATTGTTTGAATAACTGGTCCTAAACTTTTGAACCTATTATAATGAAACTACACAAAAATGTTATGAATCACCTGGAGATCTGCGTCCATGTTTTGCAAAGATTTTGCTTACATTTTCACATTAGGTGTTTACAAAGCAGAAACTATGGCAACATAATTTGTCTGAAGACTTTTGATCAATCAAAATAAGAATATTGTCCAAATAAGGATTTTGAGGGATGGCATATACACTGTTGCTAGTTTCAAAATATCAGTTGTCACAGTAACCAAAAGAAGACCTCTTATTGGTAAAATCTTGTCTGCTGTAGGCATCGTGGTCGCTGTACACAAGTTTTTGTAGAAATATTCATAGCTCACAAACTAATAGTAACCATAAGAAATGTTTGAGATTGTTTTAAAAAATGAAAAAATCATGGGATTACCAGTAATTCAAAATGTAATTCTAACGAGGCCTTTTTACGTGGATGTACTCAGCAACTTACGACATATGACAGTTCTGGTAACATTTCGTTTTATTTAAAGACGTAAAGTAAAAACTGTTAAGTCTTTTTAAATATCTTTTTAAAAAATTGACTTGCTTGTATCAACCAAAAGATGACCAAGTATTTTGGTTTTTGTTTGCAGCTCTGGGTAGAGCCTGTGGAGTATCACGACCAGTTATTGCAGCCTCTGTAACTGTCAATGAGGGCTCTCAGCTGAAGACTCAGATCAGTGCCATTCAAAATAGCATCGAGAAACTTCTGATCTAGCATCATCATCATCATCATCATCATTACTGCTCCTTGTTAAGCACTGTCATCATCATCACCTAGATAAAGTATCTCAATGACAATATTTCAGTTTAAAGTGTCTGCTAAATTTTACTTTAGAAGAGACATTGTTGTTATTCGAAAAAATATTCATTGGCTGTAGTAAAATGTTCAAATGTCACGGACTTGCTCTGATCATCATTGTCTTTGATGGACTTTAGATTCTATCATTATACAGTAATTTTGATTTTAACTGTTTATTTCATTGAAATTTTATATACGTTTTGTTATTGACTAGGATGTCAATCCTGCAATGTGCAAAATTTTGTTCATCAGTTTTATGTATGAATAAAAGAGGTTCGTATAAATGGATTTATTGGTCATTATTCTTGAAACGGACGTCACTAGATATTTTCAGACTGGATTATATGTAATGAGAAATATAGTATGAATGTGAACATTTACACCCATAATGCTACAAAAGGATAATTCAATTTTACACTGCATTGTGGTGATACAGACTTGTACCTAATTGTATCATGAATAGTTTGACCAGAACGAAAAGGTATGATTGTACCAGAATAACAATGTATCATTGGATCAGAATGACAAGGTATATAGTCAGATCAGAATGACAGGTATATAGTCGGACCAGAATGACAAGGTATATAGTCGGATCAGAATGACAGGTATATATTCGGATCAGAATGACAAGGTATATAGTCGGATCAGAATGACAAGGTATATAGTCAGATCAGAATGACAGGTATATAGTCGGATCAGAATGACAAGGTATATAGTCGGACCAGAATGACAGGTATATAGTCGGATCAGAATGACAAGGTATAAAGTTGGATCAGAATGACAGGTATATCGTCAGATCAGAATGACAGGTATATAGTCAGATCAGAATGACAAGGTATATAGTCGGATCAGAATGACAAGGTATATAGTCAGACCAGAATGACAAGGTATATAGTCAGATCAGAATGACAAGGTATAAAGTCGGACCAGAATGACAAGGTATATAGTCGGATCAGAATGACAAGGTATAAAGTCAGACCAGAATGACAAGGTATATAGTCGGATCAGAATGACAAGGTATATAGTCAGATCAGAATGACAAGGTATATAGTCAGATCAGAATGACAAGGTATATAGTCAGACCAGAATGACAAGGTATAAAGTCGGACCAGAATGACAAGGTATATAGTCGGATCAGAATGACAAGGTATAAAGTCGGACCAGAATGACATGGTATATAGTCGGACCAGAATGACAAGGTATAAAGTCAGACCAGAATGACAGGTATATAGTCGGACCAGAATGACAAGGTATAAAGTCAGATCAGAATGACAAGGTATATAGTCGGACCAGAATGACAGGTATATAGTCAGATCAGAATGACAAGGTATATAGTCGGATCAGAATGACAGGTATATAGTCGGACCAGAATGACAAGGTATATAGTCAGACCAGAATGACAAGGTATATAGTCGGACCAGAATGACAAGGTATATAGTCGGATCAGAATGACAAGGTATAAAGTTGGATCAGAATGACAGGTATATAGTCAGATCAGAATGACAGGTATATAGTCAGACCAGAATGACAAGGTATATAGTCGGATCAGAATGACAGGTATTTAGTCGGACCAGAATGACAAGGTATATAGTCGGATCAGAATGACAAGGTATATAGTCGGATCAGAATGACAAGGTATATAGTCAGACCAGAATGACAAGGTATATAGTCGGATCAGAATGACAGGTATTTAGTCGGATCAGAATGACAAGGTATATAGTCAGATCAGAATGACAGGTATATAGTCGGATCAGAATGACAAGGTATATAGTCGGATCAGAATGACAGGTATTTAGTCAGATCAGAATGACAAGGTATATAGTCGGATCAGAATGACAAGGTATATAGTCAGACCAGAATGACAAGGTATAAAGTCAGATCAGAATGACAAGGTATATAGTCGGACCAGAATGACATGGTATATAGTCGGATCAGAATGACAGGTATATAGTCAGATCAGAATGACAAGGTATATAGTCGGATCAGAATGACAGGTATATAGTCGGATCAGAATGACAGGTATATAGTCGGATCAGAATGACAAGGTATATAGTCAGATCAGAATGACAGGTATATAGTCGGATCAGAATGACAAGGTATATAGTCGGACCAGAATGACAGGTATATAGTCGGATCAGAATGACAAGGTATAAAGTTGGATCAGAATGACAGGTATATCGTCAGATCAGAATGACAGGTATATAGTCAGATCAGAATGACAAGGTATATAGTCGGACCAGAATGACAAGGTATATAGTCAGATCAGAATGACAAGGTATATAGTCAGAATGATCAGAATGACAAGGTATATAGTCAGATGACAGGTATATATGACAAAGGTATAAAGTCAGATCAGAATGACAAGGTATATAGTCGGATCAGAATGACAAGGAATATAGTCGGATCAGAATGACAAGGTATATAGTCGGATCAGAATGACAAGGTATATAGTCGGATCAGAATGACAAGGTATATAGTCGGACCAGAATGACAAGGTATATAGTCGGATCAGAATGACAAGGTATATAGTCAGATCAGAATGACAAGGTATATAGTCGGATCAGAATGACAAGGTATATATAGTCAGATCAGAATGACAAGGTATATAGTCAGATCAGAATGACAAGGTATATAGTCAGATCAGAATGACAGGTATATAGTCAGATCAGAATGACAAGGTATATAGTCGGACCAGAATGACAAGGTATATAGTCGGATCAGAATGACAAGGTATATAGTCGGACCAGAATGACAAGGTATATAGTCAGATCAGAATGACAGGTATATAGTCAGATCAGAATGACAGGTATATAGTCGGATCAGAATGACAAGGTATATAGTCGGATCAGAATGACAAGGTATATAGTCGGATCAGAATGACAAGGTATATAGTCGGACCAGAATGACAAGGTATATAGTCGGACCAGAATGACAAGGTATAAAGTCTGACCAGAATGACAGGTATATAGTCGGATCAGAATGACAAGGTATATAGTCGGATCAGAATGACAAGGTATATAGTCGGATCAGAATGACAAGGTATATAGTCGGATCAGAATGACAAGGTATATACAAGGTATATAGTCGGATCAGAATGACAAGGTATATAGTCGGATCAGAATGACAAGGTATATATATAGAATGACAAGGTATATAGTCGGATCAGAATGACAAGACAGGTATATAGTCAGATCAGAATGACAAGGTATATAGTCGGATCAGAATGACAAGGTATATAGTCAGATCAGAATGACAAGGTATATAGTCGGACCAGAATGACAAGGTATATAGTCAGACCAGAATGACAGGTATATAGTCGGATCAGAATGACAAGGTATATAGTCAGACCAGAATGACAAGGTATATAGTCAGAACCAGAATGACAAGGTATATACAAGGTATATAGTCAGACCAGAATGACAAGGTATATAGTCGGATCAGAATGACAAGGTATATAGTCGGACCAGAATGACAAGGTATATAGTCGGACCAGAATGACAAGGTATATAGTCGGACCAGAATGACAAGGTATATAGTCAGATCAGAATGACAAGGTATATAGTCAGACCAGAATGACAAGGTATATAGTCGGACCAGAATGACAAGGTATATAGTCGGACCAGAATGACAAGGTATATAGTCAGACCAGAATGACAAGGTATATAGTCGGACCAGAATGACAAGGTATATAGTCGGACCAGAATGACAAGGTATATAGTCGGACCAGAATGACAAGGTATATAGTCGGACCAGAATGACAAGGTATATAGTCGGACCAGAATGACAAGGTATATAGTCGGACCAGAATGACAAGGTATATAGTCAGACCAGAATGACAAGGTATATAGTCGGACCAGAATGACAAGGTATATAGTCGGACCAGAATGACAAGGTATATAGTCAGACCAGAATGACAAGGTATATAGTCGGACCAGAATGACAAGGTATATAGTCGGACCAGAATGACAAGGTATATAGTCGGACCAGAATGACAAGGTATATAGTCGGACCAGAATGACAAGGTATAAAGTCGGACCAGAATGACAAGGTATAAAGTCGTATCAAAATGACAATGTATGAAGTCCCATTCGATGGATAGTTAAGTCCGCGACAAAATACCTTGTTTAACTTTCATTATCATATTGATTACGAGATAGTGAATAGTTTTAGTGGGAGCACAACAATCATTTGTCAATTATAATTTCAGAAATTATTTGGGTAAAGGTGAGAATTAATCGCCCATTTTGAAAATTCTTACTTATTTCAAATCGTCGTTTTGAATTGACTTTGCAAAAACCACTTTTTTCGAAACTAATTGCATAAAAGAAACAAGTTTAAACTTACGCTGTTTTACTTTTTAATTTACTTGAGTGTTTTCACTAAAACGATTTGTTAGTATCACCTATTCATTGTGGTAGTATCACATTTTCATTATGGTGATATCATCTGTTAATTTTGAATTCTTAATGCCATCTATTTATTATAGTGTGAGGAGTGTGTAGCGGAGTGAGTATTATTATGATATCACAAAATCAAACCGAATAGATGATAGCACTATAATGAAGTAGTGATGTCTCTAGATTTAGTGAAATAACCATTTCATTATAGCGATATGCCCAATTTATTATGGCAATATCCTCGAAAACGTTTGACTAGGTATAGTGAAATCACCGACACATAATGGGTAAGAGATATCTACAGTTGAACCAAATGGTGTTGTCACCTAATCGATCTAGTGATATAATTTAAGTGGAATAAAAAAAGTCAAACGGCTCCCCATTCAAAATGGCGACTGTAGTCTTATTTTTAAAATCGTCAATGAACAGATGGGTACGTTGTATATAAAAAAAATAAATGCGAATAACACAACATCTTCCTTTCTTGTTCGAAGATTACAGACCATCATCAGAAGGTTTTGGGTCTAAAACAGGTCGAAAGAGTGTTTACAAAACTGTAACCTGTCATTAAACGTATTGAATAGTCAAGAAAACGTGGTCTCTAGACCAGTAAATCGGATTTTAACAAGTCTATTGTTTTTTGATAACACAAACATATTAAGTACATATATAGGAATAATTCACGTGCATCGTATCCTCATGTTATACGAGTAAATTACCTTTATACAGTAGACCTTACACCTTTCAACACTCTACGTACACAACCCAGCAAATACATGACGGTAAAGTTTGAATTAGAAAGAAAATATGCCAAAAATTGATACAGGATTGATGGAAACGCTAATTTTAGACACATCCAATTAAACCACTGTGTCTTGACAAAACTA